TTCTAGATTTGAAGCTTTCGCGACTGCAAGGATTCATACTCTTAGTTTTTTCGGTAAAGTCACGTAGGTAAAAAATTCAAATTCAAATTAATAAAAAATAAAATAATTAAAAATCACGACGTTTCGGAGGCAACACAAGTCTCCGTCATCAGGTGGGACCGTCACAGCCAGATTTGCTGTATCAAGTGAGGCAGAGATTCCAAGATACAAGTTCTTAAATACAAGTTAAGGGGGGGGGAGCTTATCAGAATGTGGTAGCCAATGAATGGAACGTATTGGGAGGGTCAGGGGGGCATCCCTGACTTGCAATATCCTGGAGTCTATAAACTGAGTTGCAGCTGTGGTGATTGTTACATTGGGGAAACGAAACGTCATGTCTCTGATTGTGTACGCGAGCACAAGTCAGATTTGAAACACGGCAAAATTGAGTCTTCCGCCGTTGCCGATCATTGCTACAACGCGGTGGGCTCTCATGATAGTGTTTTTTTCCGAGACCAAGGTGCTCTGCAAGCCCTCTGGCTACCATCAAAGGTTTGTACACGAAGCCATTCAGATATACAAACACAAACATAATTTCAACCGTGATGATGGGTACAAACTTAGTAATCATTGGAAAGATGTTATTAACCATGCAAAAAAGATTTAACTACACATTTTTGGACCATCTTATCTGACAGGCACTATTTTACTTTACCGAGTGTTAACATCCCCAGCGTTTAACAGTACTCTCCTTTTTCGTATTTGATTGTCAGCCAACACTGGTAAAAAAACAACATGGGCATTTTCGTTCTCTTCTATCATGTGCACCAACGGGTGCTTGTGCCCAAACACGTCCACGTCTACGCACACCTCTTTTAGCCCCGCCCCCCTCCCAATACGTTCCATTCATTGGCTACCACATTCTGATAACCCCCCACTCCCCCTTACCTTGTATTTAAGAACTTGCATCTTGGAATCCCTGCCTCACTTGATACAGCAAATCTGGCTGTGACGGTCCCACCTGATGACGGAGACTTGTGCTGCCTCCGAAACGTCGTGATTTTTTATTATTAAATTTTTATTAATTTAATTTTTTTTACCTACGTGACTTTACCGAAAAAACTAAGAGTATGAGCTACATTTACCCTACACTTTACCCCACCCCTTGGCATGTCGACACCTTTACCCTTTTACCCGGTAAAAAAGGGTAAATTACCTTACCGTGCCGAGGCCTACTCATGGTTTCTTACAGCTGTCACGATTCCTCAGTGACTCCTTGCTCAAATTGAGCATCCACCGTTTACAACCTTGGGAGAGCAAATGGTGGGTATTTCTCATTCTCATGGCGAGTCTATCCATATTTCAGTTAAGTCGTATTTTATCGACCCCAGATGTATGATTGGCTGAGTCGACCCCCGATCGGGATTTTAACTTCGCGACCCTCTCTCGAGTCACCTGGCCGGTGAAAGCCCCCTACACCTGGCGGTGGCATTCTTTAACAACAGGCACACTCAATCGACTCACGTCCACGTGCAGTTAAACACACAATCCTTGTGTGTACAGACATTGCGAGGCTGTACGATAGAGGGAGGCGACACCTACAACGGAGGGGGGAACTTCAGGGATGAGACTCCATGACTCGTGGCCGCTGAATATTGAACGTGATCAGCACCACATCGTGGATGTGACGTGGAGAGTGATCGGTGGGGCAGCCGCGGTGGGGCTCTCAGTTGGGGCGGTTCAGGGAGTAGGAGAGTCGATATCAAAAGGGGTGAAATAGCATTTGGAGTGGCGTTAAGCCTGAAGAGGAAAGGGAGCGGCTGGGTTGTGAGAGCTCCACGGGAAATTACCAGTGCCGGATTATCCCAGTAGCACAAGTAGCTACATATGCCACGGGCCCCGCACTTTCAAGGGTCCCGCGCTAAATGCTTTCAAGCTACCAATTCCGGTTCAGTGATTCTGCACTTGCTCTATTACTATAGTACTATACTGCCTCCAACTTTTATGAACGACTGGGTGTTTAAGGGTAGCGATTTGTCGTATTATCTGGCTGTATAGCAAATGAAAAATATACAATTACTTTACTATGCAAGTAAAAATGTGTGTTTTAATATTTACGTGTTTTTTTTAGTTAGGGCTCCTTTATAACATTTGATACAGGCACCGCACTAGCTTAATCGGGATAAATAAGTGTAGGAGTGCAAACAACAAGTAGCCGATTGTTACAATTGTGAAGTAATATTATTTTTTATTAAATTACGTTGCCCATTCTGGGTACAAAATATACACGATTGTTTAGAGTCCTCTCTTCCTGTTTATATACAACTAAATTTGGGCGACGTCACACATACACACCTGCCACTCGTCCGTCTCCAGTGTACCCGCAGCAGTGTAAACACCGGCACCAGCACACGGAGCAGTGTGTATACAGACACGTGCAGACGGAACAATGTGGCACATAGACACGTGTACACGTGTATACGGACCTGTGGACTGTATACGTGTCTGTGTGTGTGTGTACACAGATTGGGTGGAGTGGTCGTGTAGCGGTTACCTCGCTGCGCTACGAACCCGGCGACCCGAGTTCAATTCCCGCTCGTCGGTCAATACCAGTGACGATTATCTGAACCGGTCTTGGACCTCCCCTAGATCGACTCAGCCTCAATTGAGTGCCTGTTGCAGTGTGTAAACATCGCCACTAAGAAGACAAAGGCGTTTGGGCGTGGTGCTGGCCACCCACCCCCTCGTGTGCCGTGCCGGCCTCTTTAAAAGGCACCTGGGAGCCAGAAATCTTTCTAATTGAGAGGGGGTCAAATACTTATTTCCCTCATTAAAATGCAAATCAATTTATAACATTTTTACATGCGTTTTTCTGGATTTTGTTGTTGTTATTCTGTCTCTCATTGTTCAAATAAACCTACCATTAAAATTATAGACTGATAATTTCTTTGTCAGTGGGCAAACGTACACAATCAGCAGGGGATCAAATACTTTTTCCCCTCACTGTATACACCAGAGAGGGGGATCTAGGGGAAAGGTGAGAAGAAGGGTCACACCAAGATGATTGTTTGTGTTGCAATCGAAACTTCGTATGCTATTATTTAATTTATTATTTTATCTTTATACAGTGACTTTACCGAAAGAACCAAAGAATAATTCCTGCAGTCACGAAAGCTCCGAAATTAAGATTCACACCAAGAACCCGCTGGTAGGATCCAGAAAGGAGGCGTGGCCCGAGGCGGAGCCAGGCCACGTGACAGTATAAGAGGGGCCCCTGTAGGGGACCTCGGGGCTGTTGTTGGAGTGGGATCACCGTCGTTCTGCTCAAGACTTCGTCACCGTTCTTCTCCTCGTCGTCGTCTTCACCATCTCGGGGCGCCACCAGTCAGGCAGCCTACCAACTGTCCTGACTGATTAACACGTGGGAGGCTTTCGCGACCAATATCATCCATAATAGAGGTTTTTGGGTTAGATGGCGTAAATATATAAATGTGTCGTTAAAACCCGCCACCACCCGACACAGCCAACTAGTGAGGGTTGTCACGTAAAAGAACGTGGCCAATTCGTCACTAGTATAGTGCTAACCGGTGTGTTGGAGAGCCAAGCCACAACATTTACAATCGGAGTACGACGTTTCGCGACAGTAATTACAACCAGCTTCATCAGGCGACAGCCAGATTTGTGGAGAAGTCCACCTGTTTCGTTCCTTATATAGAGGCGTAGATGTGTTGACCACCCTTCTGCGCTCTTGCACAATGATGGGAGGGGGGGGGGGATTACTGAGGCAACGTACATTATGCATGTGCATTATGCGAACAAATCTGGCTGTCGCCTGATGAAGCTAGTTGTAATTACTGGCGAAACGTCGTACTCAGATTGTAAATGTTGTGGCTTGGCTCTCCAACACGTCGGTGTGCTGTACTAGTGACGAATTGGCCACGTTCTGCTTACGTGACAACCCTTATTAGTTGGCTGTGTCGGGTGGTGGCTGGTTTTAACGACACACATATATATTTATGCGATCTAACTCACCTCTATTATGGATGTCCTGACTGAGTAGCGTCGCCGGCAATAGACGGATTAATGATTAAGAGTGTTAACCCCGGTGTTACTCGTTAATAAATAAGTGCCTCCAAGTCTTATCGTCTCCGAGTTCGTCACTACATATGCATTGTCTTTGAAACTGATTGATAAAGAAGGCTGCGTCTCTGGTGTGGACAGACAGCCTGTGTAGGCTCCACATGTGATCATGCCTGATTGCTCATGAGCCCCAGAAGGGTAAACGTCATCGCAATCATAATAATAAAAACCTTATACAACGTACACACCTGCAAAGGATAAAGATCCCCCGTATAGCTTAACAGACTGTTGGGGCAAGTGCTGTTAGTAGACACCTATGAAGGTTGGCACGGCACACGAGGGGGTGGGTGGCCACAGTACCATGCCTGGCTGTCTTTTTCTCCCTCGTTGCGATGTTTACACACTGAGTAGACCTAGGGGAGACCCAGGACCAATTCAGATAATCGCCGCTGGTGTTGGTCTTGAGCGGGAATCGAACTCGGGTTCCTGGGTTCGTAGCGCAGCGTGCTAACCGCTACACGACCACTCTCCACATCCACACCTACACACATACAGTCAACACTCCTACATACCCCTACAATAGGTGAACTCCCATCAGGGCCGGATTAAGATTTTATAGGCACCTGGGCTCCAGGTACTGTGAGCCATCCAGTAATAAGGTTAAATAAACATTTTTTACAAGGCTAAAAGCAAATACAATTCAGCAATCACAAACGAAATAACTTTTCACTTAATCTCTGGATGCCCTCCAGCTGGCGAAGGCCCCCTGGACTTGCAGCCCCTAAAGCCCCCGCGCCTTAATGCGGCCCCGACTCCCATAGACGACACGTGCAGACACCGAACATGGTTCGCGCTGAGCACCGCGTCTCCGTGGTGAGTGACAGCAGGCACCACCATCCGATTGCTCAGTGCACCCTCTCCCCGCGCCTCTCCCCCGGCAGGTTGAGCTGCTGCACGATCGCCAAGAAAGCTCTGCTCGTCTCCGTGCTGCTGCTGCTGCCATACTTCACCTGGAATGCGTACGTGTGAGTACGGGCGGGTGGGACAGGTGTGCGCGGTGGCAGAGCGGGGGCAGGGCGGGCGGGTGAGACACCAAGGCCGGTGGTGATGGTGTTAGGGGCCGTCCATAAATGACGTCACGCACCTAGGGGGGGGGGGTCAGAAATTTGTGACGATGTGTGACGAGGGGTGGGGGTTGAGAATTGTGACGTCACATTAAAATGCGCAACTTTAAATAAATATAGACAGCACATTCTACTTAATTAAATTGACTTTGGGGCCGTCCATAAATGACGTCACGCACCTAGAGGGGGGGGGGTCAGACATTTGTGATGATGTGTGACGATGGTGGGGTGGGGGGGGTTGAGAAATGCGACGTCACATCAAAATGCGCAACTTTAAATAGATATAGACAACACGTTCTACTTAATTAAATAGACTTTGGGGCCGTCCATAAATGACGTCACACACCTAGGGGTGGGGTCAGACATTTGTGACGATGGGGGGGGGGGGGTTGAGAAATGTGACGTCACTTTATCATAAATGTTTTCTCCTACAACATCAGAGTGCAGCGTCACATTAAATACGCACTACAATGACAATATTTTGAATTGATTTGAAGCATGTTTTATTTTCAAAATATGGGTGCAGAGCTTTGTGATGTCATATTTGAGGGGGGGGGGGTCTGACTTTTTGTGACGCCGTGTGACGAGGGGGGGGGGGTCAAAAATCGTACAAAATCGCACAACGTCATTTATGGACGGCCCCGTAAGACTATCGTAGGTGTCAGGACTTTGCAACGACTGAGATTACCTGGCAGCGTTTCAGGCTGGTGGGGTGCGGTTAGAGCAACAGCGTTGGCATTGATGAGCTTTCGACTTTGGTCTCCGTGCCAGTGAGGATAGTCTTGATTGTGTCGGATTTAAGCAATGGGCGAGTTACTCATTCTTCGTCGTTGAGTAACAGCGCACATCGGCGAGGCTCCCACAATACTCGGAGCGTGGCTGATGCAATTTGCCTCCCACGAACGGATTCGCTTCCGTGGTCATGTTGTGTGACCAGGCAGGAACTCAAGAGCGTACGATGAATCTCGTTCACGAGTTTACCGAGTCACCAAAAAGGCAATAATATCACGTGAAAACAAGGTACAGCAACGGAGCAAACAGCAACTAGAGCTAATACAACCACGTTACAGGAGAAATATGAAAGTGTGGACGAACAAAACTCAATACTGGATCGTCAAACCACATCGACAATACCACCGCCACCATCATCATCATGAAGATCTTAGCCTGCAGTGATTCCTCTGTACCACCCTCCCTACCACTGCGTTGCCCCTTTTATGCATTCACGAAAGTCTCAATAATATTTTTCAGGAGAGTCCTGCCACATTTGGATGTTCGATCGCTCTTCGATCAATTTCGATCGAAAGAGCGATCGAAATCGAATCCCATTTCGATCGCTCTTCGGCAGCGGTGGTCGCGGCGTCCGTGCGGTTATTTCACGGCGTTGAGGGGGGGGGGAGAATGCGGGGGTCTGTCTCACTGCTGCTCCGTATCTTCTCCTCCTCCTCCCGCAGGGTCCACATGACGTACCCGCGGTTCTACAGCCCCGTCGCACCGTGAGTCTCGCGCTCTAAAACCCCGCGAGCGACGCTTCGCTCGTTAAGCCTGCCAGTCTCCGTCGGTCACACGGTGGAGTTAGGAGGTCATGGGTGCGGTGCGAAGGCGTTGTCCGTGTGACTGCGTGACTCCGTGGATGGGTCGTTGGGGTGTGCCCGCCGTGATGGTGCTGGCCGCGGTTGTCTGGGCGCGATGGGTGCGTTGTCGCTGGGCGGGTCTCCTTGTGCTGGAGGGCGGGGGGGAGATATCCACAAGAGCAATCCAGAAAGGTCTCTTCAATAACAGCGCTTGCTGCATTGAGCCGCGTCCGAGACGACAAAGGGCCGCACCTGCGCTCACCCCGGGGGTCTCTCCCCACATCACGACGGCGCCTGACGCCCAACTCCACCCCCTCGGAGGGAAGCTCATCAAGTGGAGTCGCTCGTGTCGCAGTGCGGTGCCGTTGTTGTCGTCCATCTCGACACACGGGGGTCCTGTCAGGGATGACCTCTTGTCTGTAAGCGCCCGGCGAATTTCTCTGGTCGTTTTTTGTTGTTGTTAAATTATTTATAGCGAGGGAGCTGGAAGGAAACGCTCTTTGATGGAAAAAAACAGTAGAGGCAGCTCTCAGAGCGTGTGGGGAAGCGGTGGCGTTGTGGTTAGCGCGCTGCGGTTTGAACCCCCGTGACCCGGGATCGATTTCCGCTCGCGGCCAACAGAAGCGACGATGATCTGAACCGGTCCTAGGCCATCCCCTAGGTCGACTCGGCCTCATTTGAGTGCCTGGTGCGATGTAAAGATAAACATCGCCACTCGGGGAGACAAAGGCAGTCGGGTGTGGTGCTGGTCACCCACACGGCCCTTTGTGTGGCACGTTCCGCTCACGCGTTCTGAGAGCTGCCTCAACTGGTTTTTCAGCAAATAGTGTTTCCTTCCATCTCCCATGCTATAAAATATTTAAAGCACTAATGCACATCACTGTCTGCTCACAGCACCTGCCTCAACAGTCAGTTAAGACTATAGGGGGGGGGGGGGGGGGGGATCTGTGTGTGCTGTGTGTGTAGCGCCCGCACGGACGTGAACTCGCTGACACCGTGGCTGGCGCCCATCGTGTGGCAGGGAACCTACGACCCCAGCTTCCTCGAGGACGCGCACCGTGAGAAGAACGTCACGGTGGCGCTCACCGTGTTCGCTGTGGGCAAGTGCGTGGCTTCCAACCCAGCACCCACGTGGCCTGCGCACCACAACCACGTGTCCTCGGCACCACCACTCACGTGTCATACGCACCACCACCAACCACGTGGCATGCGCACCACCACCACCCACGTGGCCTGCGCACCACAACCACGTGTCCTCGGCACCACCACTCACGTGTCATACGCACCACCACCAACCACGTGGCATGCGCACCACCACCACCCACGTGGCCTGCGCACCACAACCACGTGTCCTCGGCACCACCACTCACGTGTCATACGCACCACCACCAACCACGTGGCATGCGCACCACCACCACCCACGTGGCCTGCGCACCACAACCACGTGTCATGCGCACCACCACCACGTGTCATCCGCACCACCACCACCACCCACGTGGCCTGCGCACCACAACCACGTGTCATGCGCACCACCACCACGTGTCATCCGCACCACCACCACCACCCACGTGGCCTGCGCACCACAACCACGTGTCATACGCACCACCACCACCCACGTGTCCTGCGCACCACCACCACCCATGTGGCCTGCGCACCACAACCACGTTTCATACTCACCACCACCCACGTGTCATCCGCACCACCACCACAACCACCAATGTGTTCTCTGCACCACAACAACCACCCATGATCAATCGATCGTTTGATATCGGATGAAACGGGCATGGTTTCACTCCAGTGGCCCGTGAACGCCAGGCCCCACGGCTGCCCCCTTTGAGGTGGCGTTGGCTGTGTGCCATATTCAGCGGTTGGAGTTGCCACCTGTCCTGGTCTTCTCAGGACCGTCCTCCTCTTGAGTGAGGCAGCTGCCCTTCCTAGAAAATCTGTTTATCCAGGATATAAAAAAAGTTTTTTGTACGTTGTGTAATAATGCACCCCTACAAACGATGCATTTACATGAATATATCCCCTGTACTAGTGACGAATTGGCATGTTCTGTTTACGTGACAACCCGTACTAGTTGGCTGTGTCGGGTGGTGGCGGGTTTTAACGACACATTTGTATTTACGCGATCTAACCCAAAAACCTCTTATGGATGATATTGGTCGCGAAAGCCTACAAAGTTCTCCCCTCTTAAAGTAGCGCGAAAGATGTTCTTCTTGTTCCTGCCATGGTATTTCCCAGTTGTTTTTGTACCTTGAAGGTGGCAACCTTAGAGATGACTCTAACCCTGACCCTGACCCCCTCACCTCCCCGACCCCACGCTTGCACGCGCACAGGTACGTGAAGTTCCTGGAGCGCTTCCTGACCTCGGCGGAGCAGCACTTCATGGTGGGGCGGCGTGTGGTGTACCACGTGATGACCGAGCGCCCCGAAGCCGTGCCCCGCCTGGAGCTGCCTCCAGGCCGCAGCCTGCGCGTGGGCCTCGTGGACAAGCACTCGCGCTGGCAGGACATCTCGATGGCGCGCATGCAGAAGCTGGGCGAGCTCTTGGAGGACATCGCCCAGGAGGCTCAATACGTATTCTGCTTCGACGTCGACATGGAGTTCCAAGGTGAGGGGGTGGGGAGGGGGAGGCCTCTGGGCGGAGCCTGCTGCAGGCCGGAGGGCAGGATTGCCACTGTGGGGTTGCCACCGAGGATCGACACATTTTCCGTTTGTAGACCAAACCAGGGCATATCTCCCGATCAGTCTGCAATGTAGTTCAACCGGATGCCACTAGATATCGGTACTAATCAATTCCTGCTGCCTGAACATGGATGCCAATTAACGGACTGTACCGGGTCAAAGCCGGACAGATATCAATGCCGTTTCCAACTTTTCTTGGTTTTCTCAACGTTGGTGAAATTTTAAATGAACATTGAACTGATTTTATTGAAATATATTGGGTAATTTCAGTTTTCCGAAACTGCATTGTTACTCCATTATGGCCACTCCTAGCGCTGTGCTGTGATGAATGCGGTTTTTATCGGAGTGTCAAAACTATGTCCGTATGTGGAAACTTGTCACATGTCGCTGATTTTCATTTAAAACTCATTCACTGCACCTTAAATTCATTTATTTGACAAAATATAAGATGTATAAATTTTTTTCATATTCTCAAGTCGGATGTTTTGTGGAAGAACATTTACAATTTTTAGCTATCTTATAGATTTTTCAAATAATTTGTATTTGAACAATACAATGGACCTGTGAACTCACCAGCTGTCATTGGTTTTACATTCCACCCTTCTGAGGAACCCTTTACTGTGCGGCCTCGTCACCCCGCAATGATCCCACGTTGCCCACTGTCCCCCTGCAGGCCCCTTCGGGGTGGAGGCCCTGGGGGATCTCGTGGCCGTGCTCCACCCCTGGTTCTACAAGCGCCCTCGCTCCATCTACAGCTTCGAGGGGCGGCCTGCGTCCACCGCGTTCGTGATGCCAGCCGACCGTCTCTACTACTACCACGCGGCCGTGTTCGGGGGCACGCCTGCCTCCGTGCGCCACCTCGTGCTCAGCTGCAGCCGGGTAATGGGGATGCCTGCGGGGGATAGGGCCACGCGATTCAGCGACACTCTCGCTTCGTGTTCCAGGTGACAAAGTCGCTCGTGGGCTTGCTTTCTCACCGAATATTTTCCGGCTCACTGGTAGACTGGAGCAGGTGGCACGTGACTGTAGTTGCCACAGCCATATAGAGAAGTATACCAGATTGTGGCGTGTGCCAGGTCCGACTTGCGAGGGGCGAGAATTATTACTGCTGAGCGATATCGATTTTATTGGCGCGACCTCTCCACAGACGATCAGCGAGGACCGTGACCGCGGCGTGGAGGCCCTTTGGCACGATGAGAGCCACCTGAACCGCTACCTGGCGGCCGAGCGGCGGCCCACCAAGGTGCTGTCCCCCGAGTACAGCTGGGACTCCAAGATGGTGCCGGCGCGGGAGGTGCGCATCATTCGCCTCGCCACCGTCATCAAGGACTACTCCAAGATCCGCGACAACTGGTGACGGACGAGAGGCGACCGCCCTCCACCACCCTCCTCCGTCCCGAACGTTACCTCGCACTAGCCATCAACTCCGATGCCGCCACCACCACCCCCCCCCCCCCTCGAGTTCTATAATAAGTGTCCTTACTAATGAAGGTACCAGCGAGCTGCCGAGTACAGCTCGCAGAACTGAGCGTTTGATGACCTCACAGATTTCTGAAAGACGAGTTGTGTGAAAATTGTGTGAGATTAATCGCGTGTGTGTGTTGCAGCTCTCAAAATCTCTTAAGAGTATGCCCGTTATGCAGGTTCCCTCAATCAACATTCGATCCCTCTGCACCTCACAACACCACACTCCTCCCGGCTTGGGTTCTTGAGCCACGACTGTGGGAGTATGTCAGTGGCAGCTTCCCCCCCAGCCTCCCTCAGACGTTGCTTCGGTGATGCCAACGCCCGTTTTGTGCCCGTGTTGTTTTGAAAGAGGGCAGTCCTCCGTGGAAAGAACATCGAAGATTCTGTTCAATTGTTTACGTCTAAAATCAATGTTTGCAGCCTTTATATTCTCAGGTATGTTTTACGTTACCAAAATCGTGTCATCAAAAAGTGTGTCGAATTCAATTGTTCGGAGTTGCTGTGTGTGGTGAATATACAATGACTACGCCCCCAACCCTTGGCGATTCCAATAAGATTCATCGTTGAAATCCATTTAAAAAAAACATTGTGGCGAAGGTAGCAGCCACTAGTAGCTGGCAGGGATTATGTGAACCTATTACGGGCAACATTAACACATTAAAAATTAAATTCTAATGCATGAGATTCTGCACGTATCATGAGCTCAGATAATCGACCTTTGTTGATTTCACAAGTGCACCATTACACCTCTCACCGGATTTGCACAAGACCACATGCACGCATGTTCCTAGCGTGCCTTTGTTGAACAATTGCATGTGTTCACGACGTCTTTATTCCATATTTAGCAAGGCAGTCTTAATGTAATTTCTTCCACATGGGTAAATGTAAGAGAGGTCTCTTAACCTCTGGTGTGGGCACTGCAGCAGAACTGACACGCTCTTCTAAGCACAATCACTGCAGTGTTTGCTCTGCTTTACACTCTAATACAGCCTTGGCGTGGCTCCAGTGACCTCACATTTGGCTGTCTTATTCTATCCGGCAATATTTGCCAAACGGGGTTGCCTTCTGTGCGGAGGCGTGTGAATCAAATTAAATTAATCGAATTCTGTACCATGATGTCCACAACATATATGTCAGTGTCAGCCTCCGGGCCATGTCAGCATGTTGACCAAAACAGTTAAAACCAAGCAAATCTTAATGTGGAGTGTAAGTGACGCTCTTTATGTACCCATTATGTTCCACAAGAGCGTAGAAAGTGTCGCCAAAAGGCTTTGAGGGTCCCAGGACAAAATCTCAGGTGACATCCCCTCTAAGGCCTTCTTTACATTAATCGATTTCATCGCTCTGTTGTATATATGCAGCGGTCATCATGTTCGCTCCTTCCGGTCATCGCTTAATACGAACACGGACTGACGGAGCTCATCTCTACTCATTCCTCAATCCCTTAACACGCGCTTCTGCAAATGTCTGCACCATTGCACCATTTACTCCCACGTACAATTTTATTTTTCAGTGTGCGTGTTTTTATTTATCTAATGTTAACATAATTTGCATGGGTATTTATGAGTACTGTACATGTATTTTTTTACCAAGTTTAGATTTTTTTAAATCCCATTCATGGATTATGAAAAAAAAAATGCCCACACGTCACCTCATCCACAAATGCAGCGATGATATGTTTATTAACGTAACAACGCAAACCATTGACTAATTGAATAAAAAAGTTTTCAATCAATTCCTTACGTCAGCCTATCTTATACACTGCACGTGTGTACGCACTCCCAAGGCAAGTGGAATGGCAATGAGGGTTGGTGTGAGTCACGAGGTCTGGTGCTGTTATTGCTATTTGACAAGATGGCTTGATTTTAATTCACCATAGCATCATTAAGTGGGGCTTCTTTTCATGGTTATTCGTTTTACAATCGAGCTCAATTTTGTTATCAATAATCATTTACAGCCCAATGTTAATCCACTGCTGGATGAAGGCCTCCCCAAACCGTGCCAGAAATGGAAGTTGTTTGACCATACTTCACCACACTGGTCAGTGCAGGTGAGGCTGGGAAGGTTGGGAGCAGGTAGAACCCAGGACCCGTTCAGATATCACCACTGATCTTCGTTGTGGTTGAGAAGTGAATTCGGTTCACCGGGTTCTTCATGCAGCAATGCACAATAACGATTCCACCACCGCTCTCAGTAACCACCGGAAGTGGTAATGGGGCCTTGATAATGCCATTTGTGGTGGTTGACAATGGGGAATGTTTCTGGATTAACTGTAGGCTTAGAAGAGAACCTGTCGTGGGAGGTCGGAGAGCGTGACGAGCCGCTTTGGGGGCTTCATTACGAGGTGTGATTCTGCCGACCACACAGTAGCCCGTTTCTGGACTAACTTTGTAGGGTTAAAAAGGAGCCCGTCTCTCCATTGTGGTGTTACAGAGGATTGCGTAGTCACTGCAGATTCTCGTGGAAATACGGCTTACGATGATGCATCCTTCATGGTCATGTTATGAGCGGTGGTTTCCAAGGTAGCCACGGTTTTGGGGAGTATTGCAAAGGATCCTTCCCGTCAGTAGTCACTGTCGTGATTTATAACCACAAAGGGCATTGCTCGCACGAACTGCTGCTGCGCATTGGTTGATGAGCCTGGGGCCCTGTCCGTCAGTCGAGGCTGGGTCGGCGCTGTAGGAGCGGGGAGGGGGTTAGGGATGATGGGGGCGGCCTTTGCAGCGCCGTCACTGGGGCGTCTTCTCCTTCTGCCACTGCTCTGGCGTCAGCGTCTTCTGCTGGAACGCGTGGATCTCCTTGAGCTCCTCCACAAGTGCCGCGTTCACCAGCCTGCGGGGAGATTTCCCGTACCTCTGATTAGCACGGTGGGACTACGTACGGTGAGAAAAAAGTTCAACATACGGCACAAAGACAAAGACCCCCGCCCGTATAGCCTGAACAGACTGTTGGGGAAAGTGCGTTTAGCAAGCACCTATAAAGGCCGGCACAGCACTGCGGGGGTGGGTGGCCAGCACCATGCACGACCGCCTTTGTCTCCCCAGTGGCGATGTCTACACACCGCACCAGGTACTCATTTGAGGCTGAGTCAACCTAGGGGAGGCCCAGGACCGGTTCAGAAAATCGTCGCCGGTGTTGGCCACGAGCGGGAATCGAACTCGGGTCGCCGGGTTCGCTACACGACCGCTCCCCACATAGTACACGCAGTGCACGCACACCGAGACATTCGCCCTTCAATTCACTTCTCAATCATCAACGGGTAAACCGTATGGGTTGACACGGTATGGTCACCAGTTCCCACTGGTCACTTGCCACTGGTCACAGAAGGCAGCACCTGAGACGCACACCAGGCACTCCCTCCCTTACCCAGCTGAGGAGGTTTGCGAGTGGTGCGATTGCGGCGAGTGATGGGAGTGGAGGTGAGCGAATTTGGGTGAATGAAGCGATGGTGGTGGTGGTGGCGATGAATTAATAATGGAAAGCGAATTAAAAGTAGTTGGAAGGCGAGTGGTGATGTCGCGATTGATTCGGGGTAAGTGGTAGGTGATGGAGAGGCGGGATGATGGCGACACAGCCGCTGTATCGGTCACCTGTGCCTCTGCAGCAGCGGCTTGCCCTCAACCCAGTGACCAGATGGTTGCCGGTCACTGCGGCAAGTCACTTCCAGTCACTGACCAAAATATGGTCACCGTTTACAGCCAGTAACTGGTCAGTCACCCATACCTGTCAGCACCTTATCAGTGCCCTACCTTGTTACAGACCAATTCAGACCGTATTGGTCACCCCGTGCCCTTATACATCTCAACTTCCATCCTACAAAGTCCCATCACAAGGGAGAAACACAAACAAATCGTCAAAACAATGTTGCTGGTATTGAAACGGCTGTATGCCATATGGACCTAAAAACTCAATTTCCCTTTACAAGAATAAGGGTAAACAATATGGGTTGACAGGTATGATAGTGCAGTGTATATTGTAGGGTATAGTCGTGTATAGTGTAACATATAAAAGTGTATAGTAGTGTTGTGTATAGAGGGGTGTAGTGTATAGTGCATACCAGTCAACCCCTTATCAGTGCCGACCTTACTGCAGACCGATTCAGACCTTATTGGTCACCCCGTGCCGTTACAAATCTCAACGTTCCTCTTACAAAATCCCATCACAAGGGAAAAACAGAAACCAATATTGAAACGGCTTGACGTCGAAATGGAACTGAACACTCAATTTCCCTGCAACAATAATAATAGGGGTTAAACCGTATGGGGTTGACGAGGTATGATCACCAGTTTCCACTGGTCATCAATTCCCACTGGTGACAGAGGGCAGCGATTGTGGCGAGTGATGGAAGTGGAGGTGAGCGATTAGGGTTGTGGTGGTGGCGGCAATGAATGAATGGTAAGCGAATTCAAGTGGTTAGAAGGCTAGTGGTGATGTCGCGGTTGATTCGGGGGAAGTGGTAGGTGATGGAGACGCGGGATGATGGCGATGGCGACACAAGCCGCTGTATCGGTCACCTGTGCCTCTGCAGCAGCGGCTTGCCCTCAAACTTTGCCGATACGACGAGCACCTTAAAGCTCGCACCGCACATCGTGGGCGAGATGTCATCCACCTCCTGCATCATCATCATCGACAACGACAACAACAACGGCGAACATCAGCAGAAGTCGTCGGTAAACACCCCGTTGCGATTCTAGATTTGAAGCTTTCGTGACTGCAAGGATTCACACTTTTTTTTCGGTAAAGTCACGTAGGTAAAAATAAATAATAATAAATATATTTTTTATTAAATAATAAAAATAAGATGTATTTATTTATATTATTTATTATTATTATTTATTTTTTCCTACGTGACTTTACCGAAAAAAACTAATAAGAGTATGAACCCGTTGCGATCAGCAAGCTCATCGCGAAAACCTGACACCGGGGGCCCGGGCGCGCCACGCCGCCGCGGCTGCCCTGCCCCTGCCGCCGGCAGACGCGACCAGGCAACGGCGAAGGCTGCGGCGTTGCGGGCCCTCTGGGGAGGCCTCACCACGTAGGAGGCGTCGAGCTCCTTCTCCAACTTCTCCTTGAGCGCCTCGGCTGTGATGGCCATCGCGGCGACGCGAGCCGACGCCTGGGCTCGTGCTTTAGTTGGTGGTGGTGATGGTGCTCGTGGTGGCGGTGGTGGCGGCGGTGATGGCAATGGATGGCAGTGAGGCGGGGGGGGGGGTTCGTTACCAACGCGGGGAGCGGCCACCAGGGGGCGGACGCGACGCCAGCGAGAGGAAGGAGGTTAATTATATTCTTAGGTTTTTTCGGTAAAGTCACGTAGGTAAAACATCAAAATTAATGAAAATAAAATAAAAATCACGACGTTTCGGAGGCAACACAAGTCTCCGTCATCAGGTGGGACCGTCACAGCCGGATTAGCTGCATCAAGTGAGGCAATGATTCAAGATGTAATCCCTTAAAATATCTTGAATCATTGCCTCACTTGATGCAGCTAATCCGGCTGTGACGGTCCCACCTGATGACGGAGACTTGTGTTGCCTCCGAAACGTCGTGATTTTTATTTTATTTTCATTAATTTTGATGTTTTACCTACGTGACTTTACCGAAAAAAACCTAATAATATGAATCCTTGTAGTCACGAAAGCTTCAAATCTAGAACTTAATTATAGATTTGAAGCTTTCGTGACTGCAAGGATTCATACTCTTTGGTTTTTTCGGTAAAGTCACGTAGGTTAAAAGAAAATAAATAAATTGATTCAATTTTTTTATTACACTTTGTTTTTTTAGGTAAAGTCACGTAGCTTAAAAGAAAATAAATAAATTGATTTAATGTATTTGTTTTATTTTAACCTACGTGACTTTACCGAAAAAACTAAAGAGTAGGAAGGAGCTTGTCTTTTATATTAAACCCGATCATCTGAGATTGTGAGAACTCCGGTTTAATTGTCTTTTTATATTAAACCCGATCATCTGAGATTGGGATAAATCCGGTTTAATTGTCTTTTTATATTAAACCCGATCATCTGAGATTGGGAGAAATCCGGTTTAATTGGTTCTAATTGCAGAACCGCACTTCGCCAACTTCTCACCGATGGGCTTCATCCATTCCAAGCTAAGGAACTCACTGACGTCCACGATTGTGTTCATCACGACCAACCTGCCCGCCGCATTCTACGACTACCCCGTGCCCGATGGCCCCCCGAGTACGATAGCAGCACCGACGAGGAAGCAGCCTAAGCCTTGGATCAGAGTTTCGTATTCATTAAACCAGGTTTTAATTCCCCGAAGTCGGGTTTAATTGTATTAAAGAAAAAAACCCGATGCCTGCCGCTGGAAAAGTCGGGTTTTTTCCACCCATGGCATGGGCAGAGGGTGGAGGTGTTGGAAGAGAGGAGGAAGAGGAGGATGAGGGCATGAGCATTGTGAGGGCATGAGCATTGTGAGGGCATGAGCATTGTGAGGGCATGAGCATTGTGAGGGCATGAGCATTGTGAGGGCATGAGCATTGTGAGGGCATGGGCATTGTGAGGGCATGAGCATTGTGGGGGCATGAGCATTGTGAGGGCATGGGCATTGTGGGGGCATGAGCATTGTGGGGGCATGAGCATTGTGAGGGCATGGGCATTGTGGGGGCATGAGCATTGTGAGGGCATGAGCATTGTGAGGGCATGAGCATTGTGAGGGCATGGGCATTGTGGGAGCATGAGCATTGTGAGGGCATGAGCATTGTGAGGGCATGAGCATTGTGAGGGCATGAGCATTGTGAGGGCATGGGCATTGTGAGGGCATGAGCATTGTGAGGGCATGAGCATTGTGAGGGCATGAGCATTGTGAGGGCATGAGCATTGTGGGGGCATGAGCATTGTGAGGGCATGAGCATTGTGAGGGCATGAGCATTGTGAGGGCATGAGCATTGTGAGGGCATGGGCATTGTGAGGGCATGAGCATTGTGAGGGCATGAGCATTGTGAGGGCATGGGCATTGTGAGGGCATGAGCATTGTGAGGGCATGGCTAGCAAGGACAAGGGGGTAAGGAGAGGGGAGCACCATGGATGAGGTCAGGGTTCAAGAGGGCCATCGGCGCTGCACGCGCCCACAATTCAATTTTCCCTTCGTGTCATTGAAAGTTCGGTTCAGCCACGATCGATCCACTGCTGGATGAAGACCTTCCAAACCACCGCTATCTTTCACGGCCCCGCGATGCATCAATCCATCTCGCGCCCGCACGATGATTTAATCGATCCATCTCCGCAGTGGAGGTCATCTCGGGCGCGTCCTCTCATTTTGGGCCACTCCGCCGTTAAGAGCTTCCGAGTGATGCGTCCCAACTAAGCCCACCTTTCACAACGCGATGCCGAGTTTCCACATTACCTCTAATCCATATTTTTTTGCCTATTTCAAGATTGCAAGCGTGCACTTCACAGCTTGTGCCAGTAGACACGCAACTTTGGCATGTGGTTGGAACCGCTGGCCAAAACTTTGCGTGTTCACTAATATGTTACGACGTAAAACTTACATCACGGGCATGATTCACTCTGTCTCGAAGAGAGAACGACTGAGGCACGAGGCATCCAGAGGCAGGCGGGAAGGCATCCACGCCGTGAACCGGTGCCAACAATTCCCCCGACCTCTGCGGTCATCTATATATGAAGGTGTTTAAAAGTGGGAAGAAACCGGAACACCCAGATTTAAAATAACGTGCAAGGGGGAAACACTCGATCTCACATACAGGAGACGGAGCAGGTGGAGTCCACATTTTGGCTGTATAGTAACCGTGATGCACTCTTCCTGGTGAGCCGGCTTGATCTCCAGGCGCGGCAGCTGAAACAATGGGGCACGTTTATTAAGTCCCCCAAGCTGTCCACCCAGCAGTATAATTGCTTACACCGCTTCCTCGATTGGCAGGTTGCTTGTAATAAAATAAAATATGGTTGCTCCAACCTCTTCCAACACGTCTCGCCAGCGTGGAAGAGTATGCCAACACCTTCTGGAGGAACTCTTAAGAGCTCCCTCTATCGCAGCGGTCGGGAACCTATGGCTCGCGAGCCATATATGGCTCTTCCGGTGACGGCAACATGGCTCCCAGACAATTTTGAGTTGAAAATAAAAATAAATAAAATAAATTTGGAACAGATTTAAAAAAAAAACTTGTAATATTGCTTAATAATACTGTGTCATTTGAAAGTAAACAAATTAGTTTTGAAGATAAATTTCACGGGTCACGGGTCCCGTGACCAGAAGTCGCATTAAAAGTAAGATATATTTAATTTATTATACGTTAAAAATGCTATATGGCTCTCAATGAAATATATTTAGAAATATTTGGCTTTTACGGCTCTCCCAGTAAAAAAGGTTCCCGACCCCTGCTCTATCGAGTAAAAAGTGTTATTGGCAGCAGTGGCGTAATCAAATAGTTTCGGTGCTGCACGGTTATTTTTAATTTCATGGTGTTTAGCACAAACGTAGCAAGACGAACATAACCAGTCAGGGTACTGTAAAACAAACACTCCAAGGCGCCACGTAGAGATGGCTAGTTTTATTCTTTATTGTATAAATACTTTGTACTGCCAGCCAAACTGTGTGTACTCAAGGCCCAGAACACTGGCAAGTGTCACTGATAGAACTACTGCGCAAATACTGCCATCACTTCGGTGCTGGGACCTTCGTCGTCAGAAAGCTGTGGCGCAATTGTCACATGCGTTGTGCACAGAAAGGAAATGAAACACAAGGCCTTTAGAAGAAAACAAACTATATACACAAAAAACTATTACTGTAAGACAATCATTTGGTTCATGGAGTTTAAAGTAAATGGCTTCAAAGAAATATAAATTAGCACACACCACTTAAGGCACAACATAAACAATAACATTTAGCGTGGCTGCCGAAATCAGCAATCACTGCATGTGCAAGCATTCGTCCACTACTACTTCTGAAGTTCTTATAATCAAGTCTGCCTATAGAATTGGATCTGCCACGAGTTTATTACAACACGTAAACATTTTACTTCGTCTGCCTAAAACAATGCTTTGTTTGGTACTGACAGCTGCAAATGTCACTAGAGGCCTACGACAGAAGGCAAGATTTATTCTTCATACAACAAACGATCTCTCGCAATACGGGCGAAAAGACAATAATGCACACAGTTCTACGGGCTGTATCAGTACGACAGCGAGACACCTACAAATCCACCGTGGCCTTGTAGTACTGCAAAGACAATCTCGATCGAAAAAGGCTCTACGCACATGATTGCAGCCACTACTCGGTTTTCATCATCTTGGTCTGCACTTTTTGATCAGAAAACACGGACACAAACCGCATCGTCAGGCTTAACAACGGCATTCAGTGCCACTTGGCGTTGATGCCGTGTATTGTACAGCATATTTCATAAGCCCGCTTTTGTACAGCCTGGCAGGCCTGACAGCCAGTACCTAATGGCTGTTGATGCAGCCAAGGTCTACAAAGATCCATCTTTAGGCAAGTACTAAATCCTACAACAGGGCTGCATTACACTCCCATCAATGCAGCAAACGCAGTGCAGTGCCCTCCCCATCCAGCAACATAGCTCTGGTCACACCTCACTCGCATAGATTAATCAACAGGTGCGCAATCATCAGACGTCACATAAATCGTGGCAACGGTTACATCCGTTTTCAATGACACACCCGCAAGAGGCCAAGTACACAATCCACATCCTGAAATAGTACATTTTTAAATGGAACAAAATTTATAAGTGTGCATGATAGGAATTACACAGATCATCACAAAGCAGTCGTCACCGTTGCACAAACGGACTAAACCTCAACCCGTGACCTTGTAAAGTGATGTTGCTGCTAGCAGATGATGCCGCTTTGGGGGTCCTTGGGGAATCACAAAGAGGAGTGTGATAAATAGCAATATTAAGGATAATAGTGATATTAAGTCCCTTATCTAAACCAGGTGAGTGTACACTGGAAAGGTGTGTCAGCTCAACAGTGCTGTCAACACTGACCAGGTATTGTCACTCTTCTGCTTTTCCCTTATACCTCTCGTGTTGCATGATATAACACGGAACATTTACTATTTATTATATACCAAGTACCATATCATCTTTCAGTAAAAAAAATTATTTGGGCAGATACAACACGCCTATGAATGGAATTAAACTCGTCAACTTGTCTCCGCAGGGTGACAGGTAATTTTGCCGCTTTATGATTAATGAAAAGGGGAAACATTTTACCCGAACAGATCAGTTCCTTGTGGTTTTGGCCTTGTGGCATGACGATTGTGTCATAGGTTGGAGCTGTAGTTTATGTTCAGGCAGCTACGTGCCTTTGTGAGGTCTGGTGGTGGGCAGGGAGACACGCAAGCCTAAATCTTTCAAAACGACTATTGCTAGGAATGTCGGGAACCTCCCAAAGCGGTCACATGGTTACAGCCAGCACTCGGGCTGCAGCTGCTGCTGCTGCTGCCCCCTACTGATGAAGGTGCGACCCTGCTGCCGCTACGTGCGACCTCATAGGCGTGCCGCTGGGCCGGCGCACAGGCGAGACGGTGCTCGCGACGCCGCTACTTCTCAGTGAGCGACAGCATGAGCACTCGCTCCAGCTCGTCCTCCTCCTCGCGTTGCCGGCGCTCCGCCTCCTGCTGCTCTCGCGCCGACATCTCCAGCACCAGGCGCAGCTGCTCAGCGTAGCCGACCTGCACTGGCAAGGAGGCCGGCGACTGTGCTGCCACCGGCGTCTGTGCCGGCGGCACTGTGCCGCCATCGTCCCCTTCTCCGGCGTCGACGTCCTTCAGCAGTGCCGCCGGTGGTGCCTCATCGCTCGGGTTTGCCGTGCCCAAAATTCCTCCTTCCTTGGCCAAACCACACCCCCCTGCTGTTGCGTGCAGCAGCAAGCTTTCCTGCAGGGCCCTGCAGTGGTCAAACAAATATTTTAATATCCTCCGTCCCAATGAGCTGTTAACATAAAACAAGAGCTGTGATCACTGAGCTTCGGTAACAGTGAAAACATATAGAGACAGGAAGCTCATCAACTTTGCTGGATCCTCATAACAAACTGCGTGGCATCTGTGTGCAGCTGGCAAACAGTAATTACATATACAAACATTTTGAGTGTGCCGCTGCGCTTGTTTTTGTCAGTAATGTTGACACGGCACACTTGGGGGATGTACTGACCTTTCCAGCTCCCTCTCTTCGTCGGTGAGGTGCTGACCGCCTGGAACGCTGTTGGACAGGGCCTCCCATACGGTCACCTGCGGACGACATGGCAAGTTCTGACGTGAGCAGAGAACCCAAAGAAGCGTGGAACGTGGAGGAGAAGAGTCACAGGTAGTTTTATTGGGCCACTGAGCAACTGTGAGCTAGTCTCGGAGTTGATTTGGTATAAACCGAGCCCAACGTAAATGATTTACAGACTGATTGAGATATAAGTTGGGCAAAGTTTGAGCAATGAGATCGTTTCATTTGTACGTGCTGGGTGGATTGTTACATCGAATGATTGCGAGAGATTGCGGCTGCTTGAAGAGGCCTTAGTCAAGTAGTTGATTGATGGTGGCTGATGAGCACGGGTGAAGCTGTGAAGTGGCTCAACTCCTGGGAAAGCTCACGGTGCGCAAATGACCACTTTGCTGGTAGCCCAGCTAAACCTCGGTAATGTGGAAATAGTGTGGCACGAACCCTCGTGTCACCGTCCCACGCTCCTGCCGTCTCCGCACTTCCAACGGCGCGGCCCACCTGCTCCGCCTCGGTGCCGGCCTCCAGCAGGCTCTGCTGGATGGCAAACTGCAGGAGGTCATCGTCCTCATCCCGCATGGGCTCATGCTTGCTGCTGCCCACGACGGTGTAACCACGCGGGGCCTCGAACACCGACGGGTCGACTTCGCAGCTCCGTACGCCGGCACCTTCACCCGGTGCCGGGCACGCCGCCGCCACGGCCACCTCCGGGGTCGTCTGCACCAGCGGGACTGAGCACCGCACATGCGCACACACGGAGTCTTGTCAGCACAAGCAGCGGGGCAAGCGACGTCTTGCGAACGGTACTCTTGTCACAACGACCGGTCGATGCTAATACTGAGCGGTCAGATGTTGTGCAAATCCCCAAGTTCGGCCGCCCCAAGTTTAGTGCATCTCTCAAGTTTTCGACACACGCCACTGCGGGCATCTTCAACTCCTGACAAATGTTTTTGCTAGAGAAGTCCAAAAAGTCGTGATATTTCGCGACAACATTCCGAAGTTAGCAATTCTGCTTAGTTGAGGCCATGGTGAGGCAGAGGGGTGGTATCCACCACTCACCTGTGGGGTCCTCGGCCTCCCCGCTGGGCGACGGCGTTCCGCCTGCCATGGAGCAGCACACGCTCTCCACCGGCGAGTCGCACCCGTTCAGGTTCCCAAACGTGATGCGAGCGTTGAGCACGTGAAACAGAGGAATTTCTGTCAGAGGGACGAGGGGACAGCAATCGTTGAGAGGGTGGGGGATGCGAGATGGAGGAGTTGTCAGGGGGTGGGAGATGGAGGCTGAGAGAATTGTAAAGGGCTGGGAGATGGAGGGGCAGGATCGGGGAATGGGGGAATTGTGAGGAGGTGAATAGAAGGCGGTAAGTAGAAGGTGGCGAGGAGCTGATGGCAGGCTGGAGGTAATGAGGTGAACAATGAAGATGAGACCACACAACCATGCACCTCACCGATCTTGACGGGGAAGCCGGAGGGCAGGCGCAACGTGATGAAGTCGCGCAGCTTTGCGAAGTGCGCGTTACTGATGGCCATGAGGTCGATGATGGGCGTCACCTGCTCCACTAGCGACAGCGGGTGGTTCTCGCACAGCCACAGTTTGGCCTTGAACCTGCACCCCCCACGCACGGCAGAACACAGACGATCAAAGGTGCTCGCTCGACGGACAAGCAGTAGAGGAGAACATTGGCATGCAGTTGACGGGCGGTCGTGGCGGGGGTCGCTCACCTCTGCGTTTTGACGGTCAGCTCTATGGGACGACCAATGTCGCGCACGCCCAGGTCAAATGCCGGGTCAAAATACTCTTCGGGGGTGATGGCTGTGGGGTTGGTCGGACTGGCCACCTGCAAGATCTCCGCCTACACCACAGTAAGAGGTGGCGGGTCATCAGCGCCATGCTTATACTTTCTACCCGGCAGCGCAAGAAAAATGAAACGGGCATGACTGCAGAGATGGGCCGGTGGGGCAAAGCACTCACCCCGCCACTGCTGGTGCCAATGTGCTGCTCCGCTATTCCCAGAAAGGACTGTAAGGGTGTCTTGGTGCCTGTGTCAACAAAATACGATGCACAGTTAGCTCAGATTTCCAACAAAGAATCAGCAGCCAAGGCCTTTGTTTGGAAATTTTACACTTGCTATTTTACACTGAGACCTCCCGCTCAATGCATGTATTTGATAGGAGGCTGATAGTCAAATATAAATATGCGTATATATTTGCCAATCACGCAAGCGAAGGGCGGCACGCACAGATTCACATGCCTATGCGTAATGTGCAGCTTCCGTGCACTGCTTAACAAACATGATGGTACGGACGCTACATGTCAAGCAACTCCTGATACCAGACTCAATACAAGTATTAAGTCAGTTGCTTTTCCAACGCCATACAAAAGAGAGAGACTGCTCAACAGAGACATACAATTCACAATTTGAATTCATATAGACGATTCTGTGACAGGCAGGCGTGTGAACCGTCTTGAGCGACAGCTCCCAGGGCGGACCTTTGTTGCGGGACTTGTCCTGCTCGGAGAGGTGCTCGGTGCGTGTCTTGGTGACGAGCTCCACGTTGGAGGCGCTGTAAACCTGGCACCAGACACCGCCGCGTTACTCCCGACCGCACCGCGTGCCAGGGACCGGCACTGCACCGGTGTTGTGCTCGCGCTCAGCTCGATGCTAATTTGCGCGTGGAATTTATTTACACGACACGCCGTAGGAGACAGCTGAAGAGTTCGCACCTTGGCTTCGTATCCATTCACCGCCTCGGTTTTCTCGCTCCTCCAGCCCCAGATGCCCGACATGTTCCTGTGAGCATGAGAGAGACACCAAACTGAGCTGGAGCAATGCTGGGCTAGGGTCATGCTGGGAAACTGGTGTTCCGTGTGGAGCACCGGCGTGGCATTTGAGGCCATGAAATTACGACTGCCACATGTAGATGAGTGATGGTGGTTTTGAAATATATATTTTTTTCATTGTTCATATTATGCTGCCTTGGTTTCAAAATTGGTAAATTCAAAATTGCTATTTTAAATACTGTTTTTACAGACATACGGCTGTGGTTTGAGGGTAAAGCCACACACTTTAACCAACAATGTGTAGGTCTTCTCCAGTTCCGCAATGAAAACAAGCCCAAGGACGCTGGCTTATAAGTCATTTCACCGAGGGTTCAAAGCGCACCCTTTCCCAAGGCCTCAATACATCACCCCACAAATGAGTCCTTGCTCAGCACAGACTGCCTGCATTAGGAAGAACCAACATGCTACTGATGTCACAGCCGCTAGATTTATATCACGATTGGTATTTAAAAAAGAATACAAGATATATTGTGACTGCCACCAAACCCTATACAGCATTCACATCACTGATGGTAACGTATGCTGCAGGTGCTGCCAGGGCCTAGCAAAAAAGCGAACTCCCGGGCCCGCTCGTTAAGGCTACGTGGTGTTGGGTCGGGCAACTAAAGGCAGCAGAGGGGAACTTGAGCCGGGGTCGGCCAGGCTGGTCCAGGCAACGGGCCAGCACCATTGCAAGTGGTTTTGCGAATGCAGCGCGATCAACTGGACTCTGCAGGAGGAATGAACGAGTCCCTGGTGGGGGGGGGGGGCTCAGAAAACCCTGGACACAATCCCCAAGCGAGCTGCCACCCTCTCACCTCTCGAACTGGATGTTCTTGGTGTCGATGTGCGTGGACACGATGGGCGAGGTGAGGCGGCCGGCGATGTGTTCCTCGGACGGCTTCATGGTGGAGAGCAGCAGCTCGGGATCCTGCAGGTCCAGTGCCAGCGTCTCCAGGTACATCACCTGCTTGTCATGGTCCACTTCCATCACCAGCGCGCCCTCGTCTGCACATTCAGGCAGGACAATGGGCGACACGCGTTATAGATGGGGGGGCAGTGGGGAGGAGTAGGGGGTGGGGGGGGAGCGGACAGTATAGTGAGGGAGGTGGAATGGGGTGGTGGGGGAGGAGGACCCCCTCACCCTGTCCCTTGAAGATGAAGCTGCGGCTGCCACGCTGCCACGTCATGTGGTCGAATCCGAGCAGCGTGGTGTCCACGCGCAGGTTGGCGCCACACTTCCACACTTTGTAGACGTCACTCGGGCAGATCCTGGACACCAGGGGGACTGCATGCACCCGGGGAGAACGCACGGTGGGGGAGGGGGTGGGGGGGGATGACTCAGCACAGGTGAGGAGTGGTTCTGTCTGACTCTGAGAAATCGTTCTCACCCGTGGAATGTACCACATGCTGGAGTGTTGAGACTTACCCCAGCTCGTGAATTCCCACTTCATTTCCACATAGAAGTCCTGGGCCTGAAAGGGACACCCAAACATAAGTTTGAAGTCATATCAGGTACTGAAGCAGCCTATAGGAGCCATGCCAGCAATTGCGATGCTTTACGCAAAGCCTTGTACCAGCCCGCACTGGCCAGTGTGAGGTATGGTCAAACACAACTACATGGCAATCACTGCGTGGGGAGGCCTTCATCTAACAGTGGATGATAATGAGCCGTCTATTATCATACATTTTCTAAGTAATTCACACTGGCGCAGATTTAACACCTGGAATGAGCATACTTCACAACGTGTGGTTTGATGGCACGTGGTGGAAGGTGCACGTCTGTGTTACTGTGCTAAGGTCCAAAACTTAAAAGTAACCACAAGCGACGGAAAAATAGAAACCTCGTGTGTTTTTGAAGGGCATTTTGACCTGTGACTGTGGCAATCCACAGACGCGGCGGTTTCATGAGCAGCCACACGGGCGAGCGAGGCACCGATTGTGTCGACGCAGCGGAGGAAGAGGTGGGAGGCGAGAAGATGGGAGGCGAGGAAGTGAACGGTGATATCAGGAGAGGAAGGACGATGGGTGAGGGAGGGAGAAGACAAGGACACGGAAGGAGTAGGGAATGCGCCGAAAGATACAGCCACGAATTTGAATCTGGGCGGTGTGAATCAAGGCTGTGGTACATTATACATGCAGCATGGTGATCATATGACATGTGAAGCATGCTGGAAGGATCAATCTCGTTGGCACAATAGCATATTTTCTGTCCCGAAATCACCTTCTGCTTGTTTTATTACTCGTAATGGTTCCCAAACGCTTACACGCGCTTCTGTCGAATGAGGTGCTCATCAATTACAGAAAATGTTAACATTTGTTTACGAGGGCTGGGGAGCATTCAAACGAATTGTCCTATCTCCGGATGCGTTGAAGAGGTTGGGTGAGATTCTGTGAAAAAAAGCAGAGATCCTGTGGTGGTAAATGGTTTGGCAGTGGTAGGCAAGTGTAGTCATAGAAGAGGTGGTGGGCAGGCATAGTGGAGGTAAATGGGTATTGTGGTATTGATGAATTGGTGGTGATGGTGGATAGGTGATGGTGGATAGGTGTGGAGGTGAGTGTGTGGTGGTATGGGCACCTGGGTCTGCCCCGTGACCTGCCAACGGGCGTTCGACACTTCACGCGGCCTCAACATGCACATAGCCTGGCACAAGCGTCGTGGTGACGTCACTGCCACTTAGTGGCGAATGGCGGTTGTTGTTGTTTGTGGTGGTGGGCGTGTGTGGTGGTGGTGAGCATGTGTGGTGGAGGTGGGCATGTAGAGGTGGGCTGGTGTGGGGGGGGGTGGGCTGGTGTGGGGGGGGTGGGCTGGTGTGGGGGGGGTGGGCAGGTGTTGTGAAAGTGGGCCAAAGCGGTGGAGGTTGGCGGGTGTGGCGCATGGTGGTGGTACAGGTGGTCCTGGCGGTTGTCGCAATAGCAAAAGCAGCAGCACCTTGCGGAGTTTGCCGAGGAGCTCAGGAATGCCCTCGAGCCTCTTTGTGGCGCGTTGATAGTCCCGGTACTGCAGCACGAGCTGCACCAGCTCAGGGTCGCCGGTGCTCACCGCCTCCTGCAGCACTGCCGGCAGCGCGCGGGGAGAGGAGTGGCTCGCACAACGGCCCTCACACCCTCAACACACACGGCACCCAGGCCTCCCCTGCACAAGAGACTCCTAGTCTCACGTCGTGGATGCTCACCTGGTCTGTTTATGTTAATCTTTGAGTCTTTGTGTACATCTGTGGGTTTATAGGAAAGTCTAAGTTCAAGCGTCTCTGTGTCAATCCATGGATATCTAGGCAAGAATGTACTTCTCTTGAGTTTCTATGAAATTTGTTTTCATGATTGCATTGCACAATGGCACAATGTCAAGCAGCCAGCAACAAACAGCACTATTAAAGGTGAAACAGGTAACCGTTACTCTTTGGTTCTTTCGGTAAAGTCACGTAGGTAGACTAAAAAAATTAAACAAAAAGTAATATATCACGATCGCAACACAAGCGGTCATCCTCAGGTGGGAAAAAAATGATCCAGCAGTGGGACTGCTGAACCAGCGAGAGAGCTGTTACAACAAGAGGTTATTTATGTGGCGATGGGCAAGCAAGTGGGGTCTGAGCTGGAAAGGAATTCCATCCCCGGACGCAAGTACGTCAGTTGTGTTAATGGGGGAGATTAGCATGAAATGAGCTTCCGTCGCCGCATAAGAGTATCATCCCCGCATATGCGCACAACATCAGTGTTAATGGGAGATTATCACTATGTTGATGGGAGAGATTAGGCAGGGAGATTAGGGGTATTAGTAAGTTAATGTAACACAACCTGCGGCGCTGCCAAGTGGCTGTGAGGCAAGCGCTTCCACGCAAGGGGAACCACCACAACGGTGGTCGCGTTAGTGAGACACAAAGCCCATCACAAAGCCAGAACCATCAGTACATCGAGGCGAAGGGAGCAGAGGTGGCCATGTTAGCGAGACCCCAGCTCGTTAATGCAGAGGCAAGTTACGACTTTGCTTGGTTAATAACGTCCTTCCTTTCAATGATTGCTCAGCTTATACCCATCTTCTCGGTTGAAATTGTCTCTGTGTTTATATATCTGGATGGCTTAATGGACAAATATTTGATGGTAGCCCGAAGGTTTTCAGAGTACCTAGGTCTCAGAAAAAACAATATTGTGCGAGCCCACTGCGTTATAACAATGATCAGCCGCTGCAGAGGTATTGGCTCTGCCGTGTTTCAAATCTGACTTGTGTTCGCGAACACGGTCCGAGACATGTCGTTTGGTTTCCCCAATGTAACTGCTGCCGCAGACACAACTTGGTTTGTAGACACCAGGGTATTGCATGTCAGGACTTCCCTAACCGAATCGACCAAGCAGCTCTCTCTAAAACCTTCGGCTGCTAGACCACCCATCAACTCACCTACCTACAAACTGGCCAGATTTCTGTCTGAGACCCAAGCATTCATTCACGGGCAAGACTACCTCAGCAGTATTTAATTCAGCTCACTTGGTTTCTCTAATCATGGACATTTTACTGTCTCCAGATGATTTGCTTGTCAGCTTCGATGTAGTCTCTCTGTTCACCAAGGTACCTGTACCTGACACCATAGCAATCAATGAAGACTTGGTCCAACAGGGACTGAATCCTGATGCACCAACTTTGGTGAGGCACTGCCTTACAAACACTTACTTCATCTGGAATGGTACATTCTACAAACAAAATGAAGGTACCCCTATGGGTTCTCCCTTATCACCAGTGGTAGCGAATGTTTTCATGGAGAAATTTGAAACAGTTGCCATCCTGACATCCACCCTACATCCTTCCCTGTGGAAGAGATACGTAGATGACACTTTCGTCATCTGGCCACATGACCAGCCAGCATGAACCATTTTTTCAACCACATAAATTCCATACACCCATCCATCAAATTCACCATGGAAGTGGAAAATGATGGCAAGCTACCATTCCTGGATGTTTTGATCGAGAAGAGGCCTGATGGCTCGTTGGGACATTCCGTCTACAGGAAAACCACCCACACGGATTCCTATCTAAAGCCTGACTCCCACCACCATCCGGCCCAGAAGAACTCCCTCATCAAAACACTACACCATAGGGCCCGCTGCATCTCCGACCAACACCACCTAGCCAGTGAACTGGAGCACGTACACCAAGCCCTCAAGATGAATGAATACTCAGACCGCACAATCCGCAAAGCTGTAGCCCCAACCATGGGGAGACAACAATCTGAGGATCCAATCAAAACCATCACCTTGCCATACATAGCAGGTGTTATCAAAATATTTCCAAAATCTTAAACAAACTCAAGATCCAGGTCAGATTCAATACAGTACACAAAATCCGTGATTTGATCCCTATCTGTGAAGAATGTCATTCCTGACATGCAATACCCTGGTGTCTACAAACTAAGTTGTGTCTGCGGCGGCAGTTACATTGGGGAAACGAAACGACATGTCTCGGACCATGTTCGTGAACACAAGGCAGATTTGAAACACGGCAGAACCAATACCTCTGCAGTGGATGATCATTGTTATAACGCAGTGGGCTCGCACAATTGTGAGAGCAAGGTACTCTGCAAACCTTCGGGCTACCATCAAAGATTTGTCCATGAAGCCATCCAGATATATAAACACAGAGACAATTTCAACCAAGAAGATGGGTATAAGCTGAGCAATCATTGGAAGGACGTTATTAACGAAGCAAAGTCGTAAATTGCTGTGGTGCTTCCATTCTTCCCTGTTGTTTGGCTGTTATCTCCGACTCTCAGAGTTGCATTGCCTTGTTAGGTGCCTCTGCATTAATGAGCTGGGGTCTCCCTAACATGGCCACCTCTGCTCCCTTAGCCTCGATGTATCGATAGTTCTGCCTGTGTGATGGGCTTTGTGTTTCACTGGCGCGACCACCGTTGCGGTGGTTCCCCTTGCGTGGACGCGCTTGCCTCACAGCGCAGGTGACAGCGCCGCAGCTTGTGTTACATTAACTTACTAATACCCCTAATCTCCCTGCCTAATCTCTCCCATCAACATAGTGATAATCTCCCATTAACACTGATGTTGTGCGCATATGCGGGGATGATACTCTTATGCGGCGATGGAAGCTCATGTCATGCTAATCTCTCTCCCTAAGCTCTCCTTCCCTAATCTGCCCCATTAACACAACTGACGTGCTTGTGTCCGGGGATGGAATTCCTTTCCAGCTCAGACCCCGCTTGCTTGCCCATCGCCACATAAATAACCTCTTGTTGTAACAGCTCTCTCGCCGGTTCAGCAGTTCCACTGCTGGATTATTTTTTCCACCTGAGGACGACCGCTTGTGTTGCGATCGAAACGTCGTGATATATTATTATTTTATTTTTCTACCTACGTGAGTATGGATTCCTGCAGTCACGAAAGCTTCAAATCAAGGTAATCGTTAGAAAAATGTGTAAATCACTTCTGCTTTGCTGGATTAATCCAGGTCGCTATAAAAAATATGGACTTCTACTCTCAATGGGCTCTCACCTCGCTATAAAGGCCAATCTATGTTATCTATCTTGCACACTCGTAATAATCTAGGTTATTAGAGTTGTGCATTCATAAAAGTACTGGCTGGTATGTCTACGGGTCTCTGTCTGCATACACCTATTCTGCTCTGCTACACTTAATTAAATCCAGGTCTCCCTGACTTGTGCTCTCAATGGGCTGTCATCTGTTGAAATGTAGAAGTCATCTCTGATGTTATCTCTTTAATGGACATGAGGCTGACCAGGCGCCCCAGGAGTGAGCCACCCACCCGTCCAGCCCTGTGCGTTTTCATGATTGACGTCGGCGTTGTAGCGCAGCAGCACCCGCGTCGACTCCAGGTGCCCCAGTGCCACCGACAGATGCAGAGGGGTCCTACCCCGGGGGTCCACCGAGTCCAGATTGCTCTGATGACACGCACACACGCGTACACACATGCACATGAACACACGCAAACACACAAATATCTCCTGAAGAGTCCTAACAGACCGTTTGAACAGGTGCTGAGCACTAATGAAGGGTGGCACAGTGCAAAAGGGAGTGGCATGTCTTGCACCACGCTCGGCCACCTTTGTATCCCCAGTGTTGATGTTTATACAATGCACCAGGTACTTGTTGAAGTCTGAGTCAACCTAGTGTAGGCCCAGCACAGGTTAAAATAATCCACACTGATGTGAAGCCATGGCCAAGAATCAATCACTGATAGCCAGGTTCTTAAGTGCAACCCACTAACCACTATCTTGTTACATACAGTATACACAAATGTGCATGTACATATACAGAGCTTAATGTGGCTCGCTCTCAGTGGCCAAACCGAATCAGGTGTTCTCACTCCTCCACGAATGCAGCCATGACAGCCCTTATAAAACGTGTATAGGGAATGCCGTCTTGTGCCTCCTGTCTGCGAAGAAGGTTGTTTGGGTCTGCCCAGTTACCTCAAGCAACGCATTCCTGGCATCAGTGCTGAGGGACATACCGATCTTAGGCAACCCCCTTACATCTTGGCTCATCTGAAAACGGGATCAACCACTTGAGATGTCACTCCTGTGCTTTCTGTTCCACCGCACTGTCCCATCTCAATGGTAAAAGGCGCTTTTTGACAACACGTGTGCAATTTCTATTTGGTGTTCATATTGGTGTTTGTATGATGGCTGCCTAGGGCTTGACCCACACAGGGTGCCCGTGCATGAGGACAACATGGATGCACGGGACAAGGGTGCGGGTGTATATGTAACACAATTTTTTTCCTGGGTAATAAGTGTTATTTTTGTATTGCTTATGCCTAAAAAGTAGAGAAAATGGCTACTATTCCCCACAAACTTTGCTTTTGTGACCAGGACTTTATGTGAAGGAATGACACAAATGCACACCACGTTTTCTCATTGAAAATAGGTACATTTCTAAATATGAGACATTTCCACCTGCACTGATGTACCGTGCAATGCTCTGTTCTAATTCAACTAGTCTTTGTTTGATTTTCTCAATAATCCAGGAACCAGCTGTGCGCTCATGCAGGCAACACAAGATGCAGCAGTGCGTGGTTTGGTTGATCAACCACAAATAAAACACCACTTTTTAAAATGCCAGCGGAACCGAGCTGTGGGACATCACAGAAGCAAGTGAGCAGGGGCACTGAACACAATGCAAATCCGGATGAGCTTTGGGTGAGAGGTGGTTAAATATTTATGTATGGGGGATTTTTTTTTCGTTACAAATAACCCGCACACATTTCCAGGTGTAAGTCACTGCAGGACTATTTGAATAGCAAAGCTAAAGCATGAACAAAAATGTCAAAGTGACAGACGTGTATTAAAGATAGAGGGAAGGGTCAGTGATTGGATGGCTCGTTGATTAGAGGTTTAACGATCACTCGTGTATGGTTGACTATTTGTCTAGAAATAGGGGCACAGCTAGCATTAGTGCCTGGATGGTTTGATTGGTTAGTGGTAATAATTAGGACTAGGGGCTGGGTGGCTAGTTTGTGAGTGGTAGGATTAATACCTGTGTCTCGTTGGTTACGGTCTGGGTTCGCACTCATGTCTGATTGGACAGTTGGTTATGGGTAGGACAGGTACTAGAATCCAGTTAGTTAGGCTTAGTACTCATATTCAGTAGACAACGTGGTAGTGGTTACAGGGTTGGACAAGCACTTCATACACTTGTGTGCTCCACCCACTAACTGCTCATCCTGTTTCCCCATTGGTACTCGTTTCCGTTTCAGATTTGCATGATCTTCACAGCTGACACAGCACCGTACATGGCCTCTGACAGTGCCAACAGTGATCTGCCATGCTCCCCCCACCTTCACCACCCCTCACTGACACTCAGATGGGCAAATCGTGGCCAAATCACCCTCTCATCAAGCAGTGAATTGACAGAGTGGCGTGTTACGATATATATACATGTTTATTAATATCCGGAGAGAGCAGACCTGTGCATGATTGTAAGTAACCAGGAGCATTGTTCAGCAAGTTCGGGTCTCCATCGCTACTGTCATGCGCCCTAATCCCCTTCTATAACTGCAACAGTGGGACCTGTTATGAAGGCTCTTCTGAGGCGTCGCGTTAATTCGGGTTTCGTCTGCCTGTAAAGTGTAAACACAGGCGAGGCGATCGCACCCCAGCGTGTAAATACTGTGCACAAAGTGGTGCTTGCGAACCTTGAAAGGCTCCAATGTCGACGAGTCAACAGGATCTCATTGTGTGCATGGACAGCCATTGATCACTTACAGATTTGCCTCGTCGATGTGTTTGTTAATCGCGGCTCTTCCTGTGTGCAAATACCGTTGCGGTAATTTGTTAACCAGGTCTCCATTGCCAATGGGTCAAAATTATTATCTTGTACATCCACAAGGCAAAACTCTTTAGCCCTAGATATCCCCATTAATTTTGTCAACAGGATATATTGAGTGTAGTCAAGGAGAGGTATTTAGTATCCCAGATAGTCCTCGTCAATGTCACATTGAATGGGAATACCTGGGAATACCATCTCGAAATTTGCACCACAGTTGCCCCTTGGCACTGCCACTTGCGTGCCCCCCCTATGTACGATTCATTTAAAACACAGAAGCTTGGCTTGTCAACAACACAGCAGCTCTGATTTCTTCGTCCATCGGTTATATAATTTCAGGTCTCCATTTCAAGTGCCATTCGCATCTCTTCCGGGTAGCAATACAGGAGCAGGTAAGTGACCAGGTCTTGCCAAATATCGTGTCAGAGGGAATAACAACACGATCACCTGTGAATGAAGTACAGAGATTCATTACTGAAGGCCTCCCCTAGGCATTGTGAACACAGGATGTGTGTGAAGACAGGAGAGAGGTAATGACCAACACTGCCAGGTCACTTCACCAATGGCAACGCGCTCTCCCATACCTACGATTACAAAAAAAAACAGCGGAACCTGTCATCCCAGCATCTCCCTCGCCATTGCCCCGGCTAGTCGCCTCCATCATCACAGTTATCAACCTCAGCGCGCACAGGGATATGAGGCCTACGATGAAGCCTCGAGAACGCCCGGCCTCGCCTAGCCGCGCCGCCGGGTTCCTCGCGCCTCGACCCCGCGGGGCCGTTAACTCCTCCCCGCTGGCGGGGGGGTCGCGGCCGCCACTCTTTGTAATCCGCAGCGCGGATGCGCGAGATCTCGCTCGCAATTGGCCGCGCGGTGCACCACGTGAGCCGCCGCGACCAATAGCGCGCAGGGCGGCGAGCAAAGCGCGTGGGAAATATAAACGCGGCAATGACCGTGGAACCCGCTCGCTCGCGCCGTTCCCCTCACCCGGTCGCCGTTGAGGCGCCGCTCGAGTTCGCCGAAGCCGTTGCGCCACACGAGCAGATGCAGCGGGAAGTGCTCGGGCTTGTTGCTGTCGGCCGAGCTCATGGCGACGCGGGCTGGCTCAGAGGCAGCGGCCGTGGCGCGTCCCCCCCGCCGTCTTCCGCCGCGCTCCAGGGCGGGCCGCACGGGCGAGACCAACTCGGGACAACCGGCGACACGCGGGGGGGGGGTGCTTCAGTTTAAGCTTCGCAGCGACGCCAGTCCTATATAAATGTCGGCAATCGCAACGCTTAACTTTTACACTGAGACGTTTAATGATAAGACTTTGAATGGAAGCGAGGGGTGCGTTTGCTTGGCAGCGGGCGTTGGGTGTACGTGCGTGTGGGCGGTAATCCCCCCCCCCCGGGTTTGGTGTAAGTGGAGCGCTCCGCGCAACCCCCGGTGTGGGACGCGTCCACACTCGCCGTGCATCCTTCTCGCCCTCTCCATCCTCAACATCCACATCATCATCAGCAGCAGCAGCAGCAAGCTACAAGCAAGCGGCTCTTTCATCAACATCATCATCATCGTAGTATCCGTTTGGTCGTCAGTCTGTAAATTCCGTTCATATTCTCAGCGGGAGCTGAAGGCCCCGCCCGCCCGGCAGCTCGCTCGCTCGCTCGGCCAGATGTCGAGGAAGATGACGCGCGCCGAGGTGTGCGCTGACTGCAGCGCGCCAGGTACAGCCCCGGTGGCGGCGGTGGTGGTGCGGGTCGTGGTGCTGATGGTGGTGGTGATGGTGGTGATGATGGTGGTGATGGTGGTTATGATGATGATGGTGCTGGTGATGATGGTGCTGGTGATGCTGATGATGATGGTGGTGATGATGGTGCTGGTGATGATGGTGCTGGTGATGATGGTGCTGGTGATGATGGTGCTGATGATGATGGTGCTGATGATGGTGATGCTGATGATGGTGATGGTGATGCTGGTCATGATGATGGTGATGCTGGTTATGATGGTGATGCTGGTCATGATGTTGATGGTGGTGATGGTGCTGATGGTGATGCTGATACTGGTGATGCTGATGATGGTGATGTTGGTTATAATGGTGGTGCCGGTCATGGTGCTGATGGTGGTGATGGTGCTGATGGTGATGCTGATGATGGTGATGCTGGTCATGATGCTGATGATGGTGATGCTGGTTATGATGGTGATGCTGGTCATGATGTTGATGATGGTGATGCTGATGATGGTGATGATGGTGATGCTGATGATGGTGATGATGGTGATGCTGATGATGGTGATGTTGGTTATGATGGTGGTGCCGGTCATGGTGCTGATGGTGGTGATGGTGCTGATGGTGATGCTGGTGATGGTGATGCTGGTCATGATGCTGATGATGGTGATGCTGGTTACGATGATGATGGTGATGCTGGTTACGATTATGTGATGGTGATGCTGGTTATGATAATGATGATGGTGCTGGTTATGATGATGGTGCTGGTTATGATGATGATGCTGGTTATGATGATGATGCTGGTTATGATGGTGGTGATGTTGGTTATGCTGATGATGGTGATGATGCTGATGATGGTGATGATGCTGATGCTGGTGATGATTGTGATGATGGTGATGCTGGTTACGATGCTGATGATGGTTACGATAATGATGGTGATGTTGGTTATGGTGATGATGCTGGTGATGATGATGCTGATGATGGTGATGCTGATTATGATGCTGATGATGGTTACGATAATGATGGTGATGTTGGTTACGATGATGATGATACTGGTTACGAGGATGATGTTGACTACGAGGATGCTGCTGGTTATGATGATGATCATTGTGATCGTGGTGGTAATGATGGTGATAGTGGTGATGATGGTGATAGTGGTGGTGATGATGATTGTTGTGATGGTAATGAAGGAGAGAGTGATATTAGTGGTGTTTGTGGTGCAGTTTCTGGCGCGCCCTGGCCTCTGCAGCAACAACAGAGACCTCAGCTGTAGTGGTAGCGTCCCCATCATTAGCATTATCAATACAGTATCATTGTTCACAGTAGCAGCGTCATCATAAGAAGCAGAAATAACATCAGCATTGCTAGCAGAAGGAGCAGTATTAGCAGCAGCAAAACCATCAATCATCAGCACCACCATAATAGACAGCATCACCACTACCACCACCATTATCATCTTTCGCATTCACGCTCCACATCCCCGTGTCCTTCCCAATTCTCTCCTTCCACCTCCCCTCTCACCCCGCACCTACCACCACCTCTTCCACTTCCCCTATAACTCCTGTTCTGTTACCACTTCCCCTACTAACACCTTCACCACCCCCCCCCCGACCACCACCACCTTTCTCCACCTCTCTTACCACTACCGCCGCCACCTCCTCCTCCACCTCCCCTGCCACATCCTCCACCTCCTCCACCTTCCCTGCCACATCCTCCACCTCATCTCTGTTCCTGTGTTGCTGCTACTGCTTGGCCCTGGCTGTGCCCGGGGGGAGGGAGCGTTGAGTTCCATTGTCGTGGGCTCGGGGTGCAGGGGCCTTGCCTGCGCCGGGCTTCACCGCCGCTCACCATGTGCTGTTTTATTTACTTGGGCTTTATCAAATGTTTTGTGTTCGTGATGGGCATATCGGCCTGGACACCCCGTGCCAGGCTGTGTGGTGATGGGAGGTGTGTGGTGGTTGGACGGGGCTGGTGGGGCGCAGTGGGTTGTGTGGCAGTCAGTGGTTGTGGTTTGCAGTGGTGGTGGTGGTTTATTTGGTGACGGGATTGTATGGTTCTGTTAAGGTATTCTGTGGAACATTGCGGCTTGTGTTATGGTGGTAAGGCGTTTAGTGTTGGTGTGGGGTACTGTGTGTGAGTTGGTGATGTGTGTGCGTGTAGGTTATGGAGTTGATATGGTACTGGTTGATTGTGTGTTGGCGGGGTGTGTGGTAGTAGTGTGTGTGTGTGTTGGTGATGGGGTTTATATGGTTCTGGTAGACTGTGGGGAGTTTGGTGGTGGGGTTTGTGTGTGATGGTGACACTGGTGTGGGTATTTGATTTGGTGATCTACATTATACAGTTTGTAGCCATCTCCCACCTTTAGATTTTAAATGCATATTTTTTCATACCTCCCAGCCATGACAAAACTCTCACCCTAGCTCTAAACCAACCCTAGCAGATCACTGATTCATCAGCAAGAAGAATTACCCGAGCGTGTGTTGGTTCCGTTTTTGTGTGGTTAACATGGTGGCTGGGTGTTTGATGGTGATGGTCACATACTGCGTGTGGTGATGGTTGGTGGATGAGTGTTTGATGGTGTTTATGTTTTAGTGACATGGTGGCGGGGTTCTGGGATACTCTACGTTGAGGGCCAAAGTGATGGTGGTGATGTGCGTGTGTGCTTGTTGTGGAAAGTATGGTGGTAGAGGATTTATGTTGGTCAGGGATTGTGATGGTTGTGGGGTGGGTGTTTGGTGGTGTTAGGATTCTTGTGGTGGTGGTGGTAGAGGGGTTAATTTGTTAATGTTTGGGTGTATTTGATGACAGCGGGGTGTATGATTGTGGTGTGCTGTTGGTGTGTTTGTGTGGTGGTTGAGAGTTTTTGGTGATGGGGTGTATGATGGTGGTAGGGTGCCTGTTGGTAGCGGAATGTTTGGTGGTGTACGTGTTTTTTGTGGTGGTAGTGGTGTGGTGTTTGGTGTTGATGTGTGTGATGATTGTGTTACTAAGCTGTGTCCTGGCTGTCCCACATGAAACGGCGCAAGGTGAGGGTTTGAATCTCGCTCTGTTGAGACTCTTCGACCGGCAGATGTTTCCTGTTGCTGTTTTAGAGCAGAGAGGGGGGACTCTGTGGGTGTGATGAGGTGCGAGCATCAAGGCCTTTGAGCTCGCAGCTGCCCCGTGACTAAGGTCACTCACTCTCCAGTGTGGTGGATGCCCCGGGGGTACATCAGCCCATGATGGTGCTGACCCTTGTCATACAGTCGCCCCGCGCACACGTGTGTAGACTCAGTGGCAGCTTTCTCAACCACAGCCCAGCAGCTCCGCGGAATCACTCGGCTCCCTGCCACAACTCCTGATTCGATAACACATTCAAGCATTCTCTCGAGCGAATGGGAAAACCCATCAGCCTGAAAAATGAATGTATGCAGGCTGGAATCAATGATGATGAGATGATACGCATTAAAAAAAAAGGTATTCTAGGCAGTGAACGCACAACGGCAAATCCCATTGTGCTTTGCACGTGCGAAGATGAAGGCACCATTCTTGCGTGTATTCTCCACACAGCGTTGTTATTCGGTGCAATGGCCGGGCTGCTGTGTAGCTGAAACAAGAGCCTCAAGCTCATTAGGGCTGTGGCCACGGCCCATGATCCTTGCCCCAGGGCAGTTTAGCCACTCGGTCGGTGAATGTGACGGAGTGGGAGGAACAAGGAGCCACGGGGTTGGTGGGAATGCTTCGTGCAATAACCTCTGCTCCTCCATCTTCTGACAAGCTTCCCGGCAAAAGAAAAAAAATGACAACAAATACAGTTGTGTTGCAGGAAGTGAGGACATTTGGATGGGGGTTGGTGGCAGAGCTGTGGCACTGAGCACCGTGTGGCCAGAGAGGAGGAGCCATTGTGCTGGGTGGCTGAGAGGGTGGAATTGTTTTGGTGCGATGTGTGTGGTGGAAGTGGGGGGGGGTATGTGTGAGATGATTTTTGGATTTGAATTATGGTTGAAGGTTGTGCGGTGGTGGCAGAGTGTTTGGAGATAGTGGGGTGTATGTTGGTTAGATGTGTTTGGTAGTAGTGGGTTGTGTAGTGAAGGCTCTGTGTGTGGTGGTGGAAATGTATTGTTATGGTGGTGGGCTGTGAGTATGGTGTTAAGGTGTGTGGTAGTAGAGTGTGTGTCGTGGTTGTCTTTGGTAGTGGAATTGGGGCGTGTGATGGTTAGTGGTGTGTGTGTGGTGGAAGTCTTGCGTACATTGCGTTGGGGTGTGTGTGTTGTTCGGGTGTTTGTGGTAATATTAGAATGTGTTTAGTTGTAGTGGTGTGTGTAATGTTAGGTATATGATGGTCGGGGATCTTATAGTCGAGTGTGGTAGTATAGTAGTGGTGGTGTGCACATTTTGTTTCGTTCTCAAGCCATCGGTAGTGTCATTGTGGATTTTCAGGAAGATCATACAGTGGACAGATCGGTTATGAAGGAATCATTCTACCATGAATGGAATCATTCCTTACGCGAGCTGCTTTCTTGAAATTGCTTGCTCACAGCTGGTTAACGAAACAAATGGGAATAATTGTTTCCCAATGTCTACCTCGCCAAACGGACAAGCCTGACAGTCCTGAGAATTCGTTTGGGAGTCAGAACTAAATAATCGCATGCAACAAACAGCTCGGCTAATGATGTGAAAAGTTGGCTGCAAATTATTTTTGCTTTGAGGTTTGCGATAAAGGTGCTGAATAATTAATAAATTGCCGTTTATAATTCATCGCGTGGGGGAAACCGGGAGCACGCTGCCCATTATTAAGCCGCTTTCCCCGAACGAATGAAACGAGCGACGCTGCAAACCCCGCAGTCGTTCAGCGCTCAAGAGCGACACGCACGCGCTCTTTGAAGAAGAAGAAGACGACGCGCATCAGGCACGCCGGCGGTCGCTGCGTGAACGAGCTCAGACGCGTGGAACCACTTGCACGCCGTCACCTCCACTGTTCACGTCCGCCCGTTACAGTACCGCGGTTGCCGATCCCCTTGTGAACGCGCTCGGCGTAAAGGCCAACAGGATGTGGTGGCCTCCTCGGAGTAGCCTTTGTCTGGGTCTCCTTTGTTAGAGCCACTCGGCGGAGCCGGCCCGTGCCAAGTGCTAAAAGTCACCGGGGCAGGCCTGGAACTCATTAGCGCTGCACACAGAGCCGCCTGTTTTGCTCGTGACGCCCCCTTCCACCACCCCCCACCTTGTCAGGACAGCGGGGGGAAGTATGGCTCGCTCGGTGGCAATTCACTCTCCGCTTGAGTAACCGAGGCCTCTGTCAAAGCCGCCCGTCAAAACCGCCAGTCAATCTCCACTTGGTGGGAGGTTGCTGCTTCTCTGCTGCTGCTCTCGCAGTTTTTAAGTCCCCCCCGGCTGTCTGTATGACTAATTCTATCCATCCTCTCACATCCAGACTAAAGACCTTCCTCTTCTCCTCCGCCTATGACCAACAGTTTCTATCAGTCCATTGTCTTGATCAGCACAGAGATCATCTTGTCCAGCTCCCTGCCCTCCCTAACTTATCCACTTAACGGAAAGAAAAAAATCCCCGAGCGTTTTGCACGATCTGATAATGCGCTCGTCTTGCGTTCTGTGCAGTGTCTTGAGATGCGGTCACGTGCAGACGCTTGTAAATTCAGATCGTAAAGCGGGGCCATCGTGCTGTGTGTGCGTGTACATGTCGCCTTGTGCCTCCCAGCCAGGCCACACTGGAGCTCTCTCTCTCCCCCGCTCTCTTCCCGCGTAGCTCCCTCCTTGTCTTGTGGAGCTCCCCTACTCCACACCTCTCTTCTTGTGGAACTCTCTCATTTTCCCTCTCCCCATGGAGCTTCTCTGCTTGTGGCAGGCACTTGGCATGTATTGTTTCAGTCGAGCCTGCTCCCCCAGCGCTGCGTAGTATTTCCCCTCGCTGCCAGCATTGTTAGGCCGGGTGCACGTGGGCGGGTGGGATGTTTGGCTAGTTTGGTTTCCCTTGAGCCCTTGATAAATGTTGGCTATATTTGTCATCAATAAAATGAGGATTTTGGGGTGGGGAGGGTTTCTCTACCAAAAAAAAATCCAAACAGATGTTTTTGTTGTCATGCCTTTGGTATTCTGAGTGGTTTGGCTGAGTTGTGTTTTTCAAATTTATTCCAACAAACGAGAGCTTTAACCGTTTAACTGTCCCGAGAATTTTGCTCGGAAAACAGGCCGCATCCCACAGAGTGAAGCGTCATTCGCCGTGCATGGTGTGCGTTAACCCAACTAACGAGGAGTCAATTCAAATCTACAATACATGTAGTACTCTTGCCAATATAAGACTACATTATTGTTCGTGTGACTGAGATGCTAGTGTTACGTTTAGCTCAATCGACTGAACAGAACTGCACTGTGCCGAGAAAATGACAGAGAAAATCAGAAGCAATACAAATGAGATGGATAAATGAGACGAAAAAATGGATTGTTGAATCAGGTTTTAATAATTCATCTAATCACCGGTTTAGAGGAAAAGGGAGTGGTTGATGAATCATGACATGCCTCTTCAGAATTAGACCAAGAAATAATGAATTCTTTCATTTTCAAATCGTGGCCCAGAATCATGGCAATTCAATCGCTGCGGTGGGAAGGATGAATCACCATAGGATTCTCTTTCACATAAACTAATCACGTGAGCTGCCAAGTGGGAGCCAGCCCCCTGCGGTTAGAACAGGGCTCGGTCTCAAGCGAGAGTCAGGGGGCTACCCCTGCCAGTTCGCGCCCCACGGCACTAGCAGTGGCGACGCACTTGCGCCCCGCCACACCGCAGGCCCTTTAGTACGCTGGCACTACCCGGGCTGCAAGGTGCACAATACGCGCGTGACTCGCCATGCGAAGGTGAAGTGGTGAGCGGGCACCGGAAATGCGGGCAGTTTCCACGCTGGACCACAAACAGATTGTGGTTGAGCATGATGACCGTGGCGTCGTGTCAGGGACATACCGATAAAGAGCAGCTAAAAATGTTATTGCTGTAGTTTTCACACCTGATGATGATTGCTCGTGTTGCAATGGAAACTACATGATTTAATTTATTTTATATTTTATACCTACGTGACTTTACCGAAAGAACCAAAGAGTATGGATCCCTGCAGTCACAAAAACTTCAAAACTAGAAAAAAGCGAGAGAGCTTTACGGTCGCGAAATAAAGAGGCCCGCGGCACTTGAACTTTGAAGGAACTGGAGGTAGTGCAGCGTGCTGTGGGGGTACGTTGGGCCATGTGGTTTCCAAAGACCCCGCCCATCCTCCCCACTCCCTACTGCATCTGCACTATGTCGAGTTTGCTGATGGAAATAGTGGCCCTCTCTCTACTTTTGCCTAATTATGGCCATGAGTTGATGAGTTAATGATGACGTCACCCTGCTGCTGCTCTATATAAGAACGGGAGACAGCAGAGCCTCACCATTCTGGCGAATTGCCCGATGATGCTGGTTGCAATTACCAGTGAAATGTCGTACTCAAATTGTAAATGTTGTGGCTTCAACACACCGGTGGGCTAAAGCAGTGAACTATTTGTCTTTGTCAACGTGACACATTTTTACTGATTGGCCGTGTCGGGTGGTGGAGGGTTACGACACATTTATAAATAACGCGATCTAAACCCAAAAACGTTGATTATGAATAACATTGGTCGCGAAAGCCTACGTGTTAAACATTTTGGTTTTATTATTCAAGGGCCGGTGGCAGAGAGGAGAAGCAGCTACTGCATCTTGGCGTGATTATTCCCATTATCATCCTATGCCTGGTACATCCAGCCACGAGAGATATGAGCCTAAGAGCGTGCACGTGGTTGCATGCACACGTGGGCGTGTTTTGTGTGACGCACACTTGGCTTTGAAATTCTACGTTGATTTGAGTACAAAGTCTTAAGCGCATTGGGACCATTCCTGGATCAATGTAGTATTATACAGTTTGTGTGTAATAAAACGTGGAATTCCCACTGCGTGCAAAGACTGTACAAATGAGGAAGACTTTCAAGTCAGTGGGAGCTTGGATGAGAGGTGGGATTTGTATTTGGGCTGGAAACATTGTGCGCGGTTGGGTGTAGGGGCCACACTTAGGAGCTGGGATATTGACACCAGCGCATTTTGTCTAATGACTCCTAAAAGGACACCTTTCCCTAACACTCGCGTCCCTGCTCAGGGCGCCCTCGCCCTTAGTCATACGCGAACAGCGCGTGCCACGAGCAACGCGACGCGGTGTTGTGTTTATCCCTCGTCCTCTATCGCCCACCGCAGCGTACGCGGTCGTGTGAAGGGCGCGCGTGTGCACGCTTTGCGTTCACAGTGTCAGACCCCGGCTGGGCGTCCATCAACCGCGGCGTGCTGGTGTGCGACGAGTGCTGCAGTGTGCACCGCAGCCTGGGCCGCCACATCTCCCTCGTCAAGCACCTGCGCCACAGCCAGTGGCCCACCTCGCTCATACAGGTGAGTGCGAGCGTGCGTGCGGTGTGCGGGTGAGCATGTGGGCGAATGCATGCGAGAGTGCGGGCGAGTATACAGGTGTGCACCGCAGCCAGTGGCCCGCCTCCCTCATCGAGTGGGTGAGAGAGGGGGTGAGCATCCGGGGGTGCATGCCATAGCCAATGCGGCTTAATATGGGTGAGTGCGTGGGTGAGCGTGGAGGCGAGTGATAGGAAACCGTCCTCTCCGTGCCACCCCAACTGGGTTCGTTGTCGGCTGTTCAGCAACAATAACAATTTGGATTTCTTTCGCGTCCAATTGTAGCTGCATTCCAAGACACTGCACAGCAACAGTGGAAAATACATATCACACAGTAAAGAAACATTCCTGTGCACGGACTATATAACATTGGTCCAGCGTTTGCCTTTGGAAGTATTTAATTAGCAGTATGCAAGTCGACGGGTAGCTTTAGGGCAAAACTGTCAATTTTTTAGCTCTGGTTTGTCTTTCCATGTTTTGGGCAACCCGTTGATCAATGTGGCTGGGTTTTTCTCAAAAGGGGCTCATTCCAAAGCAGCAACACTACGCCACAGCCCTCTTCATATTGGATCACCTTTCTGAGCGTGATCATACTCCTCCCGTTATGGACGGAAAGTGTTGTAAAGAGTAAAAAAAAATCTCCGTTGATGGAGCCATGGCAGGCTCAACACGTCGGGGTCAGGAGTTTCTGTTTTGAGCGTTTTTCGTGATTAATTTGAATACATTCTTACGCTCACGGCAGATGCACTTCATGGCGAGTGTGAGGCAATCGATTAGGATTTATGCCATTTGTTGGCTGATGTTCCGTTGAGGTTTTAGAGGCAATATAAACGAGACGGTAAAATCAAGACAAGGAACTGACTCTTGCGTGCAATCACGAGCATTCATAGCATCGCTGGGGGGTGACATTGTCTGCGTGCCTCTCGCTCCCTCATCACTGCAACAACGGGGCACACAGCAACAATAACATGAACAATAATAATCCAGTGCAATCCAGTGCAATGTCAATTTGTACACGTCTGTATCACATGACGCTGTACAGAAACTGCGGCGCATGTTCATTTATGGGAGAACAAGGAGGATATAGCTGTACTGTATATAGCCTGTGGGCACACATTTGTAATGGGTTCAACGGAGGCGCACACTTAAACTTGGAGGCAACACTATTTATTTATCAACGCAACAGACAACTTGGACAGCTATATCAGGTGGTGACCACCGTTCCTCAGTTAACTTGAAGGGATAACTACATAATGACGGGACCAGGACAGGTTAACAAGCTGCCTGGTCCACAAGCGGAGATCGGAGACTTGAGGACCATCGATGGCTTATAAGTTATGACGGCAGCGGTGTGGCCGGCTCCGCCCTCGGCCACGCCGCCTTCGCGATCCTTCGGGAAGGTCCAGGTCCCTTACCACGTGACCCCCGCGCCCCCATCTGGGGTCCCCTGGCCCCCCTTCGTCCGGTCACGTGCCCTATCGGGTTCACCGAGGGTGTCCTGACGCAACCTCGGTGACACCCGGGCGCATCCCACCTACAGTACCCGTCATCACCTGGTACCGTCTCAACACAGTAGTGACATCATTTATGTCACTACACATTAATAACGAGGATGAGGCTCAGCTTCGGCTTGGAGGCCCCATAAGGGAGTTAGTGGGCCGTGAGCACCACTCTATCCCTTGGGTCGCTCGTGTTTCACTGCCCGTGACTGAGACGCACTCAGAGGCGCGTAGAGGACTGGCCTGGAGACACGCTGCTCACACTGCCTCTTAAGTCCGACCCCACCACACACAAGCGGCTGATTTCTGCTCGTACATTTGCCACATGGTAGAAATCTGCAGAAGGAGGTTTTCTCTGTTCACCGATCTCGCATGAACTTTATGCAAATAAGAATTATAATTGTGAGGAAAAGCTGAAACGCAGCTATACCCAGATGACAATTGCCCTCCCACCAGAGGGGAGTAATTACAGTAACCGGTTTCCATGCATCTCAAGTGGAACCTGCTGTATTCTAAGCATCACGTGCACAGCCTCCCGTGAGCACGGTGCTTGTCTCCTTCCTTGCGCAAATAGACATTTGCAAGATGCTATATTTCCTCTTACAGCATGGGTTTCGTTGGCTTTGTGGTCACCGGCAGGTTTTATGGTGGCATTTTAAGATGGAGCATGCGTTTAGTTTCATGCCTAAACCTCATTAAAGTTCATGCGAAAAGCCCAATTGGTGTGGTAATCTCCATGCAACCTCTGGCCTATTTTCATTCTGCGATTTGGTGCAGTTTTGCGTGTTTTTTTTTCTCTCCCGCGTGCAGACACGAGTGAGCGCGATGCTCCGTGCATGGTTTTATTTAATTTAATGTTTTTTTTATCAGCCGAAACAAACCCAACTGGGAATGCTACTGTCTGCTGAGACATCTCCCCCTCCTCCTCTCATGGTCTCATTCTTTCACAATGGCGTAACGCTCGCCCACACAGGGCCCCTTCCCTTAACCCTCACATCCCGCGATGCCTCGCCGCAAGCCGTGCAGTTGCATTGGTGCGCAGGTGCAGGCCATTGTTGACTTCACGGAGTGATCCATCTTGTGTCTGTCTCTCCGGTGTTGTAATAATGGAATTATAATAACAGTAATGGCAATATAAGTAATTTACCCTAGAACGCCACTCAACAGCGATCTTCCTATGGGGAGACTTGTCACTGCCGTGTGAACGTGGAGTTTCCACCAATGCTCAACAACACTGCCGCTCGCTTGTAAAGGGAGACACATTGACATCATTGCACCAAGGATGTCAAAGACAATGATTGTGGTCATCGGAGCATTAAACAATAACAATGTCCTTCACCCAGTAAAATCCGTTGTGAGATCCTGTATTCGGATGCTTGGCCAGTTCCATGAATCAGAGTTTGGCTTCATATGGGAGGAAACCGGAGTGCTCTGAGAAAACCCACCATGCATACAGAGGAGTAGGGGAGACACACTCAGCTCTATCATCTGCTGGACACACCTGAGCCCCATGCCGACAATATCTGGCAATCTCTGGTGGTCACTAATCCATGTAGACACTGCTCTAGCCAGCGTAGCTTCGACGATCTAACAGGATCCGGTGCATCCCTTGGTGATTCTCTTGCCGTTGTTGAAAGGGGCCGGTTACGCGTCGCTTAGCGCCTGCATGGGTAAAGCTGTCTCGTGACCGGCGGTTCGGCCCGCGGTGACGGTTGCCGCCTTGTGCGCCGCGATGGCTTGCAGATGGTGCAGACGCTGGTGAGCAATGGAGCGAACTCGATCTGGGAGCACTCGCTGCTCGACCCAGCGCAGATCCAGAGCGGCAAGCGCAAGGCCAACCCACACGACAAAGTGCAGTGAGTCGCTCGCGCGGGGCCGCCCTGCCGCCCCGGCAGTCGCCACCGCCGGTCGGCCTTGTGAAGTTGAGCGAGGTTTGGTGGAGGCTGCACGCGTGCCTGACTTGATTTATAAGGTTTGAAGTGAGGCTGGGTGACGGAGGAGTGTCTTGTTTGTGTTTGCGGTCCGAGTGGCGACACACGGATTTCACGAACAGATATTACTCCGTGTTTTCATTCCTTCTTGCCGCTTATCGGCCGTGATCCATTTGATTAAACTTCTTCTTGCGCATGCAACCACTTGGCCTTTGCGACGAAAAAAAAACATTCCCTGTTGTTTTTTTTGGCTGCTTCTGTGGTGACATCATTTCACGGAGCATTGTTTCACGTGGGATGTAATGTTTAAAAAAAGTTGTGGGCATTTTAAAAGCTGTTAGTACGTGCACTAATCAATCTTCGCAGATCACGTACTGTACATGGTGGCGCTGTGATAAGCCTGGAAAATGTGAAGGAAGTTGGCAGGCTGACAGCTTTGAATTGACATGACCTCGCGCATATTAGACGTGGAAAGATCCGCTAACTAATTTATTAAAATATTATTTTCATACTCCCAATTTTTTATCAAATCATGCCTGTGAAAATCTACTTTTATGATTCATTCAAAGTGCATGCTCATGTTCCATTGAGACTAACGGAGAAAACAAAACTGCAAACATAAGAGAGAACACGTGACAGTACAAATGCGATGTTTAAAACCGACGCAAAAAGGAGTTAATTCTGGAATGAAATCATGACCCCGCATCGTAACGATTAATTGAATCTCCACGTAGTGATGAACCACAATGAACTATGATACTTCAACGAAGGCAGTAAAGCAGTCCACCAAATTTTAACCGAAGCCATTTCCCAGCAAAGTAATCTGGATGTAGACTTAGAAGTCGGTGTTCGTCCAGCTGCACGTAAGAGATTGAATCGCGAAGGGCGGTGGGTGTGAATCGTTACTTGCCCAGAAGACAATGGAGCAGCAGTCACGTGCACGTTGCGTGGAGTTTCCCTGCGCGCGGCGTCGTATCACGGGGGTTCGTGTCCGCGAGCAGCTTTCACCTTGGCGGGGTGACCGCGCAGGTTCACGTCCGAGTTTGCGCTTTCATTTGCCCTCTGTGTGTGTCGTCATCGTCGTCCACAGCCCGACCAAGGCGGAGTTCATCAAGGCCAAGTATCAGATGCTGTCGTTCGTGCACCGCATGCCATGCCGCGAGGACGATAACATCATGGCCACCGACCTGAGCAGGGTGAGGCTTCCCTATCCTGTCGGTGCAGGGAGCGAGCGAGCGCGTGTCAAGGGGGACGTTGTAAACGATGCAGAGGAGGTGACCAGTGCGCTATTCCCCCCCCCCCCCCCCCCCCCCCCGGGTGGCTCGTGTTGGAGCTAACAGGGCTGCCACTGCTGAGCATCCTCGGTTGGAATCTGGGTTTTTGGCTGCCCAGCCACGATTACACTAAGTTCTCAAGCCCGGGTTGTTCACGGTCTCAATTCGGCCCCCGATCACTGCGCTCAAGAAATCGGTTTTAATTTGTCTTTTTTACTTAATTTTTCGCGGATCCACGCATTGAGTAAAGTAACAAAAAACATCCGTTTGGTTGGCATGCGATGAACACTTCTTGCAGGGCATGTGAAAGTTTCCCTCTGTGGCTAGAGACCTATTGAGGTCACTTGATAATTCTGTGACATTTTGGGACCGTTCTCGAACGCGTAATGACGATGCAGTGCTCGTTGCGAGAGTTCCAAATCGGAATGTTTTTGTCTCGTGACAACACGACGCAGTAGCAATTTGGAAAAACAAATTCTTTCCACAAAAGGGAAATTGCGATTTAAGTTGTCTGTCAATGGTGCTCGTTCGTCTTGCCTAAGGCCTGGTTCACGCGCTGTGAGTTCGAGAGACGCCCAGAGAGGCGCGGAGCATTTCACTCCAGCTGTCACAAACACTCCCGGAGCCTCGTAGAACAATCGGCACGACACCTGGCAGATTACAGAATCGGAATCTTTATTTAGACTGGGGGAATCCGATGAGCTATGAAGCTCTTTTTCACAGCTGTCCTGTAGTTTTCACAGAACGACGGCATGTCTGCGCGCGCCGTTCGGCAGGCACCGCAGGCCGCGAGTTTCCGCAGCGGCTCCGTTGGTCTCGATGTTACCGTCCGGGGAGCGTGTCCCTCTGGCGTTCATTCCGCTGGTTTCCTTCTCCGCAGCAACTGCACTCGAGTGTGAGAACGGGGAACTTGGAGACGTCGCTGAGGCTGCTCTCCCTGGGGGCCCAGGCCAACTACTTCAACCCCGTGAGTCGTTCGCGCTCCCCGCCCTGTGCCACGACGGGATGTGGGGTGTGGGGGGTGGAGGATGGGCAGTGGGGGGAGTTTTGTTGTTTTGGTGGGAGTGTTTTTTTTTTTCCTCTGGCTGTAAAGCAGCGGAGTTCGTGCACAGTTGCACGACCGGTCTCTGCAGGCATGGCCGTGCGTGTATGGACGCGTTCCCTTTAGGTTGCCGTGCTTGGCTCAAAAGGAGTTGGAGCGGCAGAGTAATAATGAGCCAGGCAAGCCTGGCTGAGTTAAGACATAGGCTGCTATAGGTGAACTGTAATGACTGAACGTGTATGCGAGTCGGTGTGTGTGTGTGTGTGATCTGTTGGCATGGAATAATTGATTAAAATCGGTTCTTACATTTGCAATACGTGCGTTGAGTTGTTTGCTTCAGAACCGATTGTTTGCAATTTGTACAACATATCCGAATGTTACATTTAAGCTAGAAGCATCCATGAATTGTTGTTGCTTGCTAGTGTGTGCATGTGAGAGTGAGCATGTGTGCCAGAATGTATGTGATTGGATAATTTGTGCATATTCGTTCAAGCATGTGTGTGTGCTTGTGTTTGCGCTTGTGTCTTTGCGTTTGTGTAAGTTGGTGTTTTCTTCTGTGCGTGTGTGTCTGTGTGCGTTAACGCACTACGGTACGAACCCGGCGACCTGAGTTCGATTCCCGATCACGTCTAACACCAGTGACGATTATCTGAACTAGACATTGGCCACCCCTCGGTCAACTCAACCTCAAATGAGTACCTGGCGTGTAAACGTTACCACTGGGGAGACAAAGGCGGCTGGGCGTGGTGCTGGCCACCCACCCCCTCGTGTGCTGTGCCAGCCTTCAATGGTGCTCGCTGCCAGCACTTGCCCCAAAAATATTTTCATGCTATATGGGGGATCTTTGTCTTTGTGTGCTAGTGTGTGTGTGTGTGCGCCACTCACACTGTGCGTGTGTAAACGCAGGACAAGGGGAACACCCCGCTGCACGTGGCAGCCAAGGCCGGGCAGACCCTGCAGGCCGAGCTGCTCGTGGTGTACGGCGCCGACCCGGGGGCCGTCGACGCTCTGGGCCAGACGCCCGTCGAGTGCGCGCGGTGAGATCATCCTAACCGTGCTCGCCGGGCTCCGCGCACCAGCACGGGGGTTCGCGTAACCGCTGGTGCCTCATTTATACAAATTCTGGGATCCAGGCTGCGCTGGCCCAGGAATAGCCCAGTTCAATCCTAGGATTCGAACACACCGGGGCCGGGGTCTGTGACTCCCCATGTTACAAGGCCATGAAGATCGGCCTCTCCTGCTCCGTTCCCTTCCACAACCCTATGCAGCTGAGGATGAGGGACATGAAAGTAAAGAATAACTTGTACTAGGTTAACCATAGCAAATGGGTGAGTTTGGACTAATTAATACGTTACGTTGTCATTTGTATCTGTGTGTTCATAACACAAACATGGCCGAGACGCTAAGCTTGGTGAGTGACGTCACAACGCACGCGTCTCACCCCTGCCTTGACCCCGAGACGTCGCGTAGCATAAGCAATGACACGTATTGGCAGGCGTGTGACGATCCCTCGGTACACTGATTAAAATCTACCCCTACGCTCACCGTACATCGAATTGCGCGCGAGAACCCATGATTTATTCAGATGATATGCCGATGTGACGTTTGTGCCAAGGGCAGGAACAACGCTGTACAAACGAGGCGGGAAACGACGAGAAACAACACGGGCTGGACGGCATAAACGAGACTAAAAGAAAGATGCTTGTTCTGTCGAATCTACTGTCACACTTGGTCATCAAATGCCGAGTGTTGATGTCATCGTACATTAATGCAGTGGCGTTGGGTAACGAGCTTGGGCAGTTGTGACCTCACTGCACCGGCAGTCGTTTTGGAATTCAAATCGTAAAACGGCTCGAGCAAGAAAAATTATTTTGTTGACGTAAGAATGTGTGGAACGTACGCCACCGCCATGGCGAGCACCGGAGGTCACCCCTCGGGGCAGCGATGACCTCGTACCCAGTGGTGCAGCGTGTTCCGCATGGGCCCCGGTGCAAGGAGTGAATCTGTGTCCCTATCCAGATTTTCACCGTCTCCGCATAGACCTGGCACCTGGGCCCCTCGGAACCGTGGACCCCGATGCATTTGCACCGCTTGCACACTCTCAAGCCACGCCGCTGCTGACAACAAAACACGACGTGGCACATGTCTCCCCTGGAAGATTTTCCCGCGGCCCTAATTTGACTAAATCAGCGGCGACTTTGCGTGACGTCATGGACTTGGTGCCTGCAGCGCGTGGGTCAGAAATGGTCGGCTGCTCCTGAAAGTGTTCATTGTCGCCTGCTGAGAAGGGACAATTAGCGCAGCGCCACATGAGAAACAAATAATTTGTGCATCATCATCTCCGGCTCTCAAGATTACTTTAGCACTTAGAGCGGTAATGAGAACGGAAGGAAATCTGGGAGACGAAATAAGGGCACCGCTGTCAGTCCCCGATTAATTCCGGGTGCTCGTTAGCAAGGACGATGTTTGCTGCGGGCTCCAGCTGGGAGGCGCAATTCAGCACGCTCATCGCTTAAGACGCTTCCCGGCCGCAGATGTGAATCAAATTATAGAAGCGTTTTTGTTTGAATGGGCAGTCATCTGCTCGTAAATACAGGCCTTCACTCGACCCCTTGTGACCGTGGCCATGTGACTTGCTTATGAAAAGCCAAACCAAGCGCTCTGCACACGTTGTATGTTACGGGGTGGTCTGTGTTGTGTCACGGTGGAATAAGCAGGAGTGGAAAAGTTGGGACGTTAGTCTCAATGTTATAAATTAAGTTTCCCATTGGCAGGGATGGGCAGCCTTCTCATTAAACCTGTGCTCATGTTACGCATGCGTGTGTCCGTGTGCGCATTTATGACGTGCGCACACGTTTGTAAATACTTTTTGTGAGTTAGATACCCGCTTATAGCCAACATGAGTTACAAATATTTCAGCTGGTCATTGGCCTCCTCTAGGACGACTCTGCCTTAAATTGAATCCGCATCAGTATTGGGGAGACAAAGGCAGTCAGGTGTGGTGCTGGCCATCCACCTCCTTGAGTACCATGGCTAAATTGAAAATCCTTTCGTTGTACCTATGTGTGCATGCATACAAGTGCACATGAGTGCTAGCGTACGTGGCGTATGCACGCATTCTGTTTTCGTGTGTGTGGCATGCATGCGTGCATGTGTGTGCGTGCGCGCGCGCGCGGTGCGTGTACGCATGCATACATGCACGCACACGTGTGTGCTTACACACGCGTGCGTGCGTGGGTCTGTGTGTGCACGTTGCAGCCAAGCGGGACACACGGATCTCGCCGACCGCCTCGTCGAGTGCCAGTACGAGCTCACCGACCGCCTCACCTTCTACTTGTGCGGCCGTAAGCCAGGTAAGGGAGGCACGCCGAGACCTTGCGACCCTACCCCCTTCGCCCTCCGCGGGCGTCTGATGAACAACTCGTGCCGTTATCTCGACGCAGAGTGGAACGTTCCGACTGAATTCCCCCACACCTGCGCCGTCACGGGACACCTTGCGTAATGATGCGGGTGCTGGGATGCTTTTACTCGGAATGTTCCATTTTGCGCTTGTGGGGGAGGGAGAGTTGTCACGGACTAGTCCACGAAGAGCGGGTGGAGAGACAAGAGACGAGCGAGATGTCTGTCTGTTCACGTGTTGAGACCCAGCTTTCTGAGTCAACGTTGCGTTTCCCCCTTCCTCCAGATCACAAGAGCGGCCAGCACTTTGTGATTCCGCAGATGGCAGACAGGTGAGAGCCTGATGGCCTTCGCCACACAACCTCCTTGTGCACATTCTACCCAGGAAGTGAGATCAAAGTGTCACACCAGGGTGGTATTAATCCATCCGCACATTCGCCGCCACGTGATGCGCGTACGCACCGCCTTCGCCCACTAATATCTCCTCTGTGATATTGGCCCATTAAAGTACACGTGCCGTCCGTCTTAATAATTAACCAGGCTTTGCTTAGACGTTTCTATACTTATTAAAAACGGAAGGTGTGGTCGTGCTGTGTCAGGCCCATTGATATTTTATTCTCACAGGGTGGGGCGCAACTGAGTTGTGTGATCTTTGGTAGCCTGCATAAACACGCGCAGTGCAGGCGTCCCCGATTGATGGGATGTGGTGAAATGTGGACGTCCGGGTGTTAATGGTCACTCAGATGTTGTTGCGTTTGCTTTTCACGCTGCCCTTCTCCGCTCGGAGTCAGACAGAAGTAAGTACGCTTCAACTCGTTGTGCGTCTGAGATTCATGACAATACTCTTCAGGCCCCGTGAGTGAATCTGTGGCTGGCTGAGTCGTGCGAGCCGCGATGTCAACTTTGTTTCTGCACATTTGTCTTGCAGCAGCCTGGACCTCTCTGAATTTGCAAAGGCAGCCAAGAAGAAACTGGAAGCAGTGAGTTCCATTTCCCGTTTCACCCGGCGTCACGGACTACAGCTTAATCCCACACTTCCCGGCCACCCTCTGTGGTGGCCTTTGTGGGTGGGGAGCAGTAGTGTAGTGGTTGGTGCACTGCACCTGCTCTCAACGACCAATAACAGTAACGAATATTTTAACCGGTCCTGTGCCTCGCCTGGGTCGACTCATTCTTAAACGAGCACCTGGTGCGGTGTGTAAACGTCAGCACTGGGGAGGTAAAGGCATGGTTTTGGAGCGCACCCACACCCCTTGTGTGCCGTGCCAACCTTAATAGGCGCTCGCTTGTTCGAACAATCCTCGTGGCTACACGAGGGATCTTGGTCTTTGTGTGCATGTGTGCCGAGCAGAGCTGTATGAATGCAATGTTGTTGCTGCACATGTGGGTGGTGTTAATCCCGCCTCTGCCTTCTAATCTGCAGTGAATGCAGGCACGGGTTGTGTTTGCATTGCGTCGACAGCTGCACGCACGTTCTGCTTGGGCGCCTGATCTCATGCATTCCCCTTCCTCCTCCTCCCTCCTCTTCTTCCCCCTCCAACAGCTGAGCAACCACCTCTTTGAGGAGCTTGCAATGGACGTGTACGATGAGGTGGACAGGCGCGAAACCGACGCAGGTGAGATGCGCCCCCCCTCGCTTGTGCAGTCGGACTTTTGCTTGAGATGGTTCTTGACGTACGGTCGGTCACTTCGCGAAATGCGGGCGAGTGAGTGCGCGGGGCGTCGAACGGCTTCGTGCACACTTGGGTGAGTTCGTGATGGGTTTTTTTCCCCCTCCCCGTGCTCGTCACCCAGTGTGGCTCACCACACAGAACCACAGCAAGCTGGTGACGGACCGCACCGCCGTGCCCTTCCTGCCCGTCAACCCCGAGTACTCGTCCACACGCAACCAGGTGCGGCCGCTCCCTCTCTGCCCGGCTGCGTTAATTTGCGATCGCGTTGGTTAACTTGTCGACGTGGTGAGAGGAGGAAAATTACTGTTTCTGCTCGGCTGTAATGCTTAAGTAGAGCGACAACGCTTACGGCTAAGTTGTAAATATTGCAGCCCTGGGTTATTTTGTTGTCCTTCCCCCGCATCTCCGATGAGCACGGTTGGTTACATACGATGCGAAAGAAGTTATGCAGACAGACAAAATAGAGTAATTTTGAAGGGGTGGTGGTTGTGAATTTTTGTTATAAGGCACAGTTGACCCTTGCCATGAGTGCGAGCGTTGTGCGCTCGGCATGTATGTTGAACTTCTTTCGCACCATTACATAGCCAACCGTGCAAATCGGAGGTGCGAGGGATTGTGCCAGGAGGGCTTAGATATTTCAGGGTCGATTGGCCGTGCCCAATGCCGTGAAACTGCTGGTGTCTTGACCCCACCGGTGTCTGCGGTGCAGGGCCGACAGAAGCTGGCTCGCTTCAACGCTCGCGAGTTCGCCACGCTCATCATCGACATCCTGAGCGATGCCAAGCGGCGGCAGCAGGGCACAGCGCCGGGGGGTGAGGGCACCGCGTGGGCACGCGTGGGCATGAGAGCCCGAGTGGACACGACACGGGACACGAACGCACGCACGTGCGCTCGGAGAAACACAAATGCCCACGTGGCCTTGCAGCAGCGTGGCGAGTGTGAAGCAAATGCGCAGGGATGCGCGAGCGTTTAAAGTAATAAACAGTAATAATATTTATAATTTAGAGCCCTTAACCCAGAGCTGGGTGAAGGCCTTACCCATGTCACGTTGGTCATGGTGGTTGTTTGACCCAAATTTCGCCATTTTGGTCCATGTGGGATGCAACCATGATCAGATATCCCTGGACACTGATGTTAACCGTTGCCGGGAATCAGACTTTGGTGGCCATGTTCGTAGCGCAGTACCCTTACCACTGCGTTCCCGTTTCACACCAAATAGCATAGAAGCGCCAGATAAAATGTAAAGATTTAACCCTTGGTTAAGTAACTCACGAGTCCAACTGTGTAGATCTTCTCATGCAGGGAGACGCGCGGTGTAGGAGTGGGGCGCTGTGTGCGTGTGGCCGCGTGTAATGTCTATAGACAGCATGGACGATGACGATGTTCACGATTACGACATCGTACCGTCGGAGGATGAAGACGTAACCCCCGGGAACTCCGCCGTCAAATCCCGAGCCAAGGTACGTCCGTGCACTCCCTTCCCCACGTCGAGCCCAGCCCACAGAATCACAGAACCACAGAATGGCCACGCGGTTAGACGGAGGTGTCGTTCGTGACGTTACCGCGTCAAACACATTGGCCCAGAGGTTATAGAAGTTCCCCGGAAATCCTGTCTCGAATGCTCATTTATCCCATTTATTTCCGGACTCATTTACCAAATTAGTGTCAGCTTGCCGCTGAATGAGTAGGGTTATATTAGTGAGGTAATGATCACAGGCTTTGGTGAGCTCCTCATGGCAGTAACTTACTGTTGGCCCTCACTTGTGACCTCTTGAACCCAGAGCATGGACTCTGACCTCTCCGACGGGCCGATCACCTTGCAGGAGTACATGGAGGTCAAGTCGGCGCTTGCCAGCTCGGAGGCCAAAGTTCAGAGGTTACTCAAGGTGAACTCCGACCTTGGAGACGAGCTGCGGCGCCTGAGGCAGGAGGTGAGACGCGGGCGCCGACCTCCCATCGTCACGTGACCCCGAGCGCCACGTACCGCCTGTGTGCACTCCTCTCCCACCACTGTGCGCACGAGTGTGTACACGTGTGAGTGTGTACACGTGTGTGTGTGTGCACGTGGATTTGTGGTCATCTGTTGGCCTCTTGTTTTACTTTATCATGGCACATTTTTTTTAAAAACAAAAACGAACGTAACATTTATGTGCGTGTGATTTAGTGGAGGTGTTTTCCTGTGCGTACGTTTGTGCGTTCGTGTGCAGCGGTACTTTATTTCTCTGCGTGTATGCATTTAGGGGTGGTGATTGAGCTCTGCCGTTTGCTGCGCCAGCTTCCATGCCGTCTCACCGTGCGCAATTAGTGGCTGTGCTCGCCGCTGTTACCCGCCCCCCCCTTCCCCCCCCCCCCCCACCCTCGTGTGCGCGGCATTCACCTTCGTGCGTCACAACAGGTCGACAAGCTGCATCGCGAGAACTCCACGCTGCGCGAGCAGCTTGGCAGCGGCAGCTCTCCCTACCCAGGCCCGCACGGCGGCGGCGGCGGTGGCGGCGGCGGTGGCGGCGGCGGCGGGGGAGGGGGTCCTTCCGCGTCGCGCAAGGAGCCCGTCTACCAGGTGCCCACCAACCGGCGTCCGTCCATGCGCGGGGTGGGCGGAGCGGGGCGCCCACAGTCCATGTGCGAGACGAGCTCGCTGCCGCGCTCGCACCAGCCGGGCGGCGACGGGGACGCACGCGCGCCTGACGTGTCCGCAAACGTGAGCCGCGCAGTTTTCCTTTTTTTACCCTTTGCTGCTTTTTTTTTTCCTTCTTTCACTGCTTGCTGCCAGTAGACGGGTGAGGGGCTGGGCCCGGCGACCGCTCTCGGTGGTCGCGGCCCGCGCTGGCCGCACGCCCAAGTCACCATCGGCCGGGCCGAGCCCGTGCCGACGCGGCCTTCTGCACCGCCGCGCTGGGTGGTTCCCTCTGCTCGGCCACCGTAGATTCTTCGTCCGCGTCGCCCTCTCGCAGGGCTGCACGCGTGGCTTGGGGAAGCGTCTCGCTTTGTCTGCAAGGTTCACAAAGCAAGCGCGCAGCGATTGTGATCGTGACGAGTCGCAAAGCTGCAGTGCAATCCCCAGCCCAATTTGCATGTCTTCTAGCAATGGGAAATCTAAACCTTTGTTTTATTGTAATTACTCAAAGAACAAATTCCACGAATGCGTAGGCTCATAAATGTTAGGGCAGAAGAAGGGGGGAGCTCACCGCCTCTTTTATATCCGCACGCTGCTTTCGGCAGATTTTTCCACATCACTTTTAAGTCTCTTTTTGGTTTCTTTGTTGTGTTTTGGTGTGTTTATTTTCCATATCCAATCTGTGTTGTGTGTGTCTGTGTCTCATCTCTTCACTCCCCACCGCCACCGCCGCCGCTGCCGCCGCCCTGCGTGGCCGCGCAGATTCGTAGGAGTGCGTTTGTGACCGCCCCTGTTTTCTCTCCTTCACACCACCCCGCGCTCTTCCCGGCCCGCGACGCCATGCGCGGCCTGGTTAAGTACTCGCGTTCCGCGTGCCCGGCGCGCGTCCCCTTTCCGACGTGACGCGACCTCCTCTTCCTCCTCTTCCTCCTCCTCCTCTTCAGCTCGCACCGCAGCCACCGCTCGCACGGCCCCGCGGCCTACGCCGGTCGCTTCTCGCGGGGAACTAACCTCATGGCGCCGCCGCAATCGCTTTGGCTGCACGGGGGAGGACCTGTTAACTTGCGCCGTCGTCTTGTGACGGCGCGTGCTACGCGGTTGTCTGCTGGCTGTTCTACCGCGCGCCGTGTTGCGCCGTCCGGGCTGCGTCGGCGCGTAACGCGATAAGAGACGTAAAACAAAACGTCGCAAATCTCGGACGTTGCCGCTTCTTGCACTGCACTGCGGACTTGGTGGCATCGCGCACAGAAGACCGCGCTCGATAAAGCGTGCTTGTAAAGGGGCCGGCTTTCTTGCACACTAATTGTTTAATCACCGCCGCCTGGTGTTTGGAAGCTTGCCCTGCTTAATAACAGCTAACCTCGCGCAGCCGAACACAGGCGGTGTGCACTGACCGTCGTGTGTTCCCCCCTCACCTCTGTCTCCAGGCCTCTGGTCTGGACTCCTCGCTAGACGGGGACTACAGCAGCTACAGGTGCGTCGTATTTCTGGCTGCAGCCTGGCGACGTGCTCCGCCAGCGGCCATGTTCTCTGCTGCATGCGCCGTGTCCGTGTGCCCGTGTGTGTCATCCATGCGGCCAGCACTTGTGTGAGCCGTGCGTTTTCGAAATGTCTGTGCGTTTGCCTCGTGTGCATTGTAAACATGCATTTTTTATGGTAATCGTAAAAAAATTGCAACGTGCGCAGGTTCGCAAGCGGACAGAGGTTCACATGTGACGTGGCACTTGTGTGTGCGAGCTCAACGCATGTTTGTTATCCATACGATAAATGTGTTGTGTGATCCTCGGATCTTTGTTGCGCATGCGGCAAACGTGCGCGCGTGTGCATGCGCGCCGCGTCCCCAGGGAGGTGGGCCTCGGCGTTCGTTGCGTCGAGGGGGAGGAGAGCGAGGGCGACCCGAGCCACGCGCTGCCCAGCGGACAGGACGTCATCCGCAAGACGGAGCAGATCACCAAGAACATCCAGGAGCTGCTGCGCTCTGCTCAGGAGTGCAAGCACGAGAGGTAGCACACACAGGCCCCCCACCCCCTCTGCTGTTTGCCGCTCTCCCCCTCTCGCCAAGCCCCCCCCCCCCCCGCCGCTATTTACCGTCCGCACGGCGGTTCTCGTGAAACGGCCGCGGTCCCACCCCTCCGGAGCGCCTCGCACGGCGCAGGCCGCTCGCTCCCTACAGCGAGTTCTCGCCCAGCGGGGTGAGACGTGTTTGTGCTCGTGGTCATCGGCTGGTGTGCTGCTCCAGACGGCACCGACACGTGGACACCATGCACTATGATGCCACGATTTTCCCGAGTTTGCGCTGTGCGTACGTATGTACGTACGTATGTTGAACTTCTTTTGCACCATAACGTAGCCAAGCGCGCTAATCGCCGCTGTGTGTAACGCTCACCCCGCACGTCCGTGCGCTCCCTCCAGCTTTGTGCCGTGCTCCAGCAAGATCCACATCGCGGTGTCGGAGATGGCCGCTCTGTTCCCAAAGGTACGCTCGATTACAGAGGTCTACGGTAGTTGTGTTTTGTTAAGCGGGGTCTGTGTGTGTGTAGTGATTCTAGTAATACTGTGCGAGTGTGCTGTCCCTGGTATTCCTGATTGGGTGAGCGTGCTGTCTCTAGTACAGGAACTCCCCGGGTTGCGGAAGACCCGAATTAGGGAAATCCGACCTTATGGAAATGCTCCCATAAATCGTGTTAATCAAAATTCACTATTCGGAAATGTTTGCGTTAGTTACGTAAGGGCAAGTAGTGCAGCGCGGTGAGGTTGTGGGTGAATACCGCGAAGCTTCACTAAGATCAAGCTCAATGGAATTTTTTTATAGTGTTACATAATTCTTTTCCTTTTGTAGCATTACATAATTGTTTGTTTTCTACGCTTAGAACTATATTTTTCCCATGTTTCTATTGCTAGTTTTCTTCATTTAAGGATTATTTAATGAGTTACTTACTGTATGTACAGTACTTTATTTAACACAATTGCACTTCTCAGCCACCAGCGATCAGAGAAGTCTCTAGGCCAAGCCGAATGCACGGTTCACGAACATTCGGAAGCGACTGCTTTCTGTTCACAATTTTAAAACGTTTTGTGGTATTCATGTTCCGTTAGTTTAATTGTGGGAAGTGTTAGAGTAGATATTCGATGAAATGAAAGAATCGTAGGAAGTGCAGAGCCGTATGTACAGCGATACGGTACAGGCAGCGATAGAAAACGGATGACGGCGTGATACGGTACGAGTAATCGGGTAGGGGAGGCATAACTGTTTCCGGCTGTGGGATTTTATCGATTTTTGTGGGAAAATTGTTTTATATTTCCGACATACCGAAAATTCGGGTTACGGATCGTTCTTAAACGGACTGCCTTTAGTTCTCTTTGAGTGTGCTAAGCATGTGTGTGCGTGTCTGCCATCTATATTAGTGGGGAGCAGTAGTAGTGCAGTGGTTTGTGCACTGCTACGAACCCGGCGACCCGAGTTTGATTCCTGCTCACGGCCATCGCCAGTAACGACTATCTGAACCGGTCCTAGGCCTCCCCGAGGCCGACTCTGCCTCAAATGAGTACCTGGTGCGGTGTTTAAACATCGCCACTGGGGAGATAAAGGTGGTCGAGCGTGGTGTTGGCCACCCCCCACCCCCTCGTGTGCCGTGCCGGCCTTCATAGGTGCTCGCTAACAGCTCTTGCCCCAGCAGTCTGTCGTGGCTACACGGGGGATCTTTGTCTGCAGCTGTGCTCCACGCGTCGTTGCCGTCCCTCGAGCGCGCGTGTCCCCATGGTCGCTTTGCAGAAGCCACGCTCGGAGACGCTGCGCGCCTCGCTGCGCCTCATGACGGGCAGCGCGCTGCGGCTGCAGTCCGAGTGCATGAAGACGATCCCCGCGGACGCGGGCGACGCCGTCGACTTGCAGCTCATCACCCAGCAGGTCATCCAGTGCGCGTACGACATCGCCAAGGCGGCGCGCCAGCTCGTCACCTTCACCACCAACGCCGCCAACGCGTGAGCGGGGTTCGGGCGCCGGGGTGGGCGCGGTGCCGGCGAGCCCGAGTTTTACCGGTGCAGGGGTCCAGTCTCGCGCGTGCACTCGCGCGCTCGCGGTCACACGACACGCGCACTCACAGACGCACGCACTCTTTACACGCATGTACGCACTCACCAACGGATGCACACACGCGTACGTATGTGTGTCCACTTGACCTGTAATGTTTCACCGATTACAGCGAGTTCTAATGTTCACGAAGCACGTGTCGGATCGCACATTGTGACGGTTTATTATCTGCAACTCCTGTGAATGATACGCTGGCACATTTAGACTAATGGAGCTAACAACATTGTAGATCATATTCATAAATATTTGAAACGACGAATCGGTTCTTGAATCGATTCATGATCCAGCATCGTGACAATTTATCTCAACCCTTTGGGGGGTGGGGGTGAATAGTCATACGCCTGACGTACACGCACGCACGGGTGTGTGCACTTGGGGAGGGGTCCACGCATTGTGCTAGCGGCCTACCCTGCGAGGCACGACTTGGTCAACGGAGAGCTGCAGTCACAAGCAGTGCTTTCGTTGACGCACGACGCTCCACCGAGCTTTGCGACGGAACGGCCAGAGCCACCGCCACTGGATCAGCACTCGTGAAGAACAAAGCCCAGCCTCGGCACAGCCTACCGCAGTCACCGCACGCACGCACATGAACTGTTGTAAAATATTTTAATCATCGTGGTAAGCCATCTCGTACGGTGTGTGTGCGCGTGTGTGTGTGCGAGCGCAACTGTTACTTTGCTTGCGCAGTTGGCGACGTTTAACCGTGACGTTGTGACTTCACAGGGTTTTTTATTTAGCCTGCCAAACCAGAAGCCCTCTGTCTTGTCAATTATTTAAATCAGAAAGAAAAGACAAAAAAACGTCTGCTTGCTCAATAACTAACTTCCTTATGCATAATCACCTGTGCTATAATTAGAAAACTGCTAAGTGCTCGTAATGACTTGAAACTTTGGCAAATCCCTGACCCCTGATTTAAGTATCATTATAGTGTCAATGCTTATGGGCACTGTCACTTGCAACATCGCGTTGGGTTTGTCACGCTCACCTGTGCCCACGTGTGCCCTGGGTCCACCTGTACCACGCTTACCTGGGCTCACCTGTGCCAATGACAGCGATCGTTCCGAGGCTACACTTGCCCTCATCGGAACCCAGGGTCCACGGCGAGGCCCAGCCAGGAGTCATGGTGGAGGTGGCGGAGTTCATTACAAACGCGCGCCGGTTTGTGTAAACCTCTAAAGTGGACGGTTGAACTCGAGAGGATTGCCACGCGTGAGCCCACGAAGCCCCCCCCCCCCCCCCCCCCGTGCCCTTCTCCGTGCGATGTTCCCCTCCGCAGAACCGTGTCGCCCGAATTGTATAACACGAATTAGCAGACGCTTAACGAACGGTTTCATTTACAAAGTGCATTATGTTTTAGCGAAGCCTTACGGCGGGGCCACTCCTCATCCGGCCACATCTGTCCCACTCATTCCTGGTTTGATCGACCACCTGCCGCCGGCTGCTGCTGCTTGCGGATTCGCTGGCTCGAGGCGGAGCCGATGTAATCTCCTGCTTCTACGCACATCTCTGTTGTAACGCGTGTCCATCCCTTGCTGCGTCCCCATGTGCCAAGTTCGTTGTGGAGCCAGGTGCGATCAATGCAGCTGTAAATGTGCGTCGCTCGGAATATCCCCAGCGTTGCGGCTTTGGCTCGGCGCCTGTCCAGCGTGTCGAGATGTGTGACGCGCACATGTTGGTGTGACGCAAGTGTGGAGACACACGAGACCATTGTGTGCGTGGTGTGACGTGTGTACCCCGTGCTGTGAGACCGGTGTGTGTGTTGTGAATTGCGTAGCGTGGCACTTGACCAGTGTATGTGCTGTGACACGAGACCAGTGGTGTCTTTGAGTGTGTGGCATCAGTGTGACGTGCGTGTGGATCGCCAGTGTGTAATGCCATTATCACGTGTGTGAAACGAGGCCATCGTGGGGTGTTACGTGATGTGTGTGCGGTGTGAGCCGGTGTGGATCGTGGTTGGTAGGAGTCCACGAATCGTCAAATTCTGGCAGCAGTGTTAGTCTCATGCTCGATGTGGCATGGGTGGGCTGCCTTGGGATCCTACTGATGGAGCCTTCGTATCTAAATTCCACTGCACAACCAAGCCGCGCCAGCATGCCGTGCCGAGCCAGGTGGGCACGGCTGAGGAGGTGCCAGGTTGTTTTTTTTCCACTGCAGAACGAGAGCCGTGCCAGTCAAGCCTACTGCGAATGCAACCTGATTAATACGATCATCTCTCTGTCTGCTTGTGGCCTGTGACCGTGTCGGACGTCTGTGAGACACGAGAGTTCCTCGGTTTGGTTCCGGCTCGGCTTGGCAAATCGCCAGTGGAAAAAAATCACCCACATCGTGAGAGCCCTTCCACGCTAGCTCGGCTCGGATGTACAGCGACGAGGGCTGTCCTGGCTCGGATCCGATCACCGCCGGTCCCTGCGCGCATTGGGAGTGTTTCTCGGAGTGGACTTCAAGTGACTTAATATTGTATTTGAGAATGTTGTACTGTGCATTGTTACACGTGCGTTGTTCAGACATTTCCTTTGTGGTAAACCATGTAACCCTGTATTTTATACTGCGTTTTGAGTTTACAGCTGTTATGACGCAAACACGTTATATTTGGTGCCAATTTATTATTGTTACATCTTCAGCATGCGGTTACACAGAATAAAAGATGAATGGGAAAACAACACGGGAGTGGAGAGTCTGGAATCTGGAGGTCCGTGGTCCATGCCTGAAATATCCAACAACTACTCGGTTTCATACCTCGTCACACGTTTTAGAAATTGCCCGTGAGCAGTGCCAGATTATCCTCGTAGCACAAGTAGCTACATATGCTACGGGCCCCGCACTTTCAAGGGCCCCGCGCTAAATGCTTTCAAGCTATCCATTCCGGTTCAGTGATTCTGCACTTGCTCTATTGCTATAGTACTATACTTCCGTCAACTTTTATGAACGACTGGGTGTTTAAGGTTAGCGATTTGTCGAATTATCTGGCCGTATAGCAAATAAAAAAACTATTACTTTACTATGCAAGTAAAAAAATGCGTGTTTTAATATTTGTTTTTTTATTTAGGGCCTCTTTATAACAGATGCTACAGGCCCCGCACTAGCTTAATCCGGCACTGCCCGGGAGGGTTTTAAAGAAGACAGCGAGGCCCTTGGGGGCTTAAATATGATTGATGAGTATATTGTCTTGGTTCTTTCGGTAAAGTCACGTAGATAGAAAACACAAATCAAAATTAAAAGCAAAAAAACCCACGAGAGAAGAAGACCGCTTATGTTGCGATCGAAACGTCGTGGGTTTTTTGCTTTTAATTTAGATTTTTGTTTTCTATCTACGTGACTTTACCGAAAGAACCAAGAATATGAATTCCTGCAGTCACGAAAGTTTTCAGTATCAATATGACTTTAGAGTGTTGTGATGCAACGTCCAGTGAGGTATATGCAGTGAAATTGTGTTTTTTTTTACCAAGATCTAGCATGTATTTTTTCCGTATTGCCTCGACTCTATTGATAATTTATTGTACATCAGGTGTACAGTACTTGGTTAACGTTCGTTGTCAAAAAGAAAAAAAAATACATTAAAAATACTGGCCGCAAGTCAGTACTGTGGTGTTTATTATGCAAACTATTTTATACTTAATCTTTTTTCTCTCTCAATAATTAGGCCATTACCTATGCATACCTGCATTAATAATAGAAAATATTAATTCGTTACATTTTGACCAAAAACAGCAGATCGGCGCATTGTTTTTTTCTATTTCTCGTGAAAAAAACTTTACAAAAGTCTCCCCCTCCTCTTAAAGAGGCGTCGCTTAAAACGTGCACACAGCCACATCACGGGGTCAGCCCGGCAAACACGTGGCAACACGCACCAGTGTACAACACGTGTCAACATGAACCACAGTACACCACGTGGCAACACGTGGCACATTGCACGCCACGTGGCCACACGCACCACATAGCGCGCCTGCTGTCTGCACGGGTCACGAGGAAGAGTGACAAAGCCCCCCCGGCATGCCCCGAGTCTCGCCGAGCCTGGCCCTGGCCTCCGTGCTCGCTCGAGCATCCTTAAGACGCGCGGGAGAGGCAGGCAGCCAGGCAGGTGTCGGCGCGTCGGAGCCGCGTGGCCCCGGGCGGCAGTGGGGGGAGAGGAGGAGGAGGAGGGAACCCGCTGGGTGGGATGTTTACCGCGCCGCCACCGTCGCCGCAGCCGCAGTTGTTTTTTTAAAGGAAGCCTCGGAATCCCCACCGCCAGTCGTAGCCGATAACCGAGCTCGACTCTTCTCTACGTCACCTGGCCATCAGCCGCGCAAGTTCCCAAGCGCGGGGGTAACAGCAGCAGCAGCGGGCAGGGCGTGTGGCCGTGACACGGGCGGATCGAGGGCGGCGCTCGGGCGAAGAGGTGGGCAGTGGCAACTCCGCCGCCGATGCGAGCGGAGACGCTGCCAGTTTGGAGGTTTCGCTTCTCCGTCGGAGTCGAAGTCGACGACGACGCGCCGCTGCACTTTGTCCCCGCGTGGACCGTGACCGTCCTCCCCTCCTCCCGTGCGCGCCCACGCGGCCCCTCTCCCCGTGACCTTCACTGCCAAAGTCGCCGTAGCCCGAGTCGAGCCGCTCACCTGGGAACGGCGACCCGCGCGGGCGCGCTGTGACACCCGCGCCACCACCTGGGTGGGTGGGTGGGGGGAGGCGGACGTGGCACGCTGAGGCTCAACCTGAAGCCGGGAGACACCTGCGGACACGGGGGGTCAAGGCGCTTGTTGAGTCGGCGGCCGGTCTCTGCGCCAGAAGTCGGTGTCTCGGCCGGGCCGGTCTGGATCCCTGCCGGAGCACCAGCTCTGTGCGCCGCGCGTCTTCCGTGACCCTCCCTGTATGTGGGGGGGTACAAAAACAGAGTCGAACGCGTGGAATTCTGCGATCTCTGCAAGATTCCTAGGCGGCTGTAGGGGGCACAGCGGCGTCGAAGAGTTCCGACCGAGGGAGACTGGTGACGTGAGGATGGAGGCGAGGGTGGCGAGGGTGTGGGTTGCAGCCATGTGGTCCCATGGCAGGTGAGCCGGAGACCAGCTCACCCATCAGCGTGCTCCAACTGGTGCAGGTAACGGGACGCGTTGACGACCACGCGCACCGAGCGGTGGCCGGGAGGTCCGTGGGGGTACCTGGGTTTGAGTCTGGGTATCAACTGGATTCGCAAACGCAGCGAGGTTGATGACGGTCTAAGCCTGGGCAGCAATGACTGTGCAAAAAAAATAACAACCCCATCAGGTTAAATTTAGCTTTCCACTTTGGGAACTAAAAATATCATCACTTTGATCGTTCTGCGACGATCATCTCTCTCGTGCTGGGCGTGTGGGGAAGTGCACTCTAAAAATATGATTTAAAAGCATCCCAGAAGTAGTTGCGTGAGCTCGCCTGTAAACCATTCTCTCTCGCACGCCGTGTTGACTCCCTGCTCTGCGAGAATTCCAGATCGACGCTTCGTCTGATGACGCCAAAGTGGCGTCAACATTCTGTAAGACGATAGAATCGTAGGACGTGGTTGGGGAGGCGTGGGGGGGGACGTGTTATTGGCTGGAGGGACGTGCGCTCTACCCTTAAAAACAACTACAATGGCATTAAACACACGACGACGACGCTTGCGTGGTTAGCCACTGAATGACCCGTGACCCCCACTCCCCCCCCTTGACCCTAAACCCCTGATCACCACAGCTGACCGAGCTGGGCATCCCGTCGGAGCAGGGGAGCCACTGAATGACCCGTGACCTCTCCCGCCCTTTGACCCTAAATCCCTGATGACCACAGCTGACCGAGCTGGGCATCCCGTCGGAGCAGGTGAGCTGCGCTCGCGTCTCGCTGGGAGTCGACGGCACGGTGTGCGCCCGCCACACGGACGCAGCGGCCCCCCACCGCTCGCGCGTCTCCCTCGTGGACCCGCGCCGGCCGGCCGAGCGCCGCAGTTGGCCCGTGGGCCACGTGGACTCGGCCGTGGCCAACCCGTGCCGGCCCCTCGTCGCGCTCAGAGGTGCCCCCCGCGCGCCCACACCGACACCGCCGCCGCCGCCGCCACGCTCGCGATCGGCAACTCTCTGCGGTTCAAGTGGATTAATAATTGTTGGATAAATCATTGATGGTCTTCTCGCGCTCGATGGCAGTGCAAACAAGAACATTGCCCTCTGCGCTGGTCTGGTGGAGGACCGCGATGCGATTTACTGCCAGCTTCATATTTGTTGTGATATTCTGCGGCAATGATTAACTTTGTCCGAGATCCCAACATTTATGGCATTAAAAGAAAGAGGCACGACTTACGCAGCTGTGTTGTCGATCTCCTGTTGGATGAAGTTGTCGCCGTGCAGTGTCAACTTGAGCAGTGGGCCGCAGGACCGGTTCAGATGCCACTCAGCAAACGATGCTCTCCGTGGATGGTTATTGAACTTAGATTGCCAGGTGCACAGCGCGGTACGCTAACCACGACACCGCTGCTGCCTCCCGTCGGCTTTGTTACACGCGACCAAAATACACGACCCCATTTCCATTCCGTTCGGCCAAAACCTCCTGCGTGCAGCGCGTGAGAGCGTCGCAGCGGAGGCGCAGGTGTGCGCAGGTGTGCGCAGGCGTGGCCTCAAGGTGCACCGAGCATGGCACAAGCACCGTGGTGACATCACCGCCACTTGCTGTCTGTCGTACGACGCGGGCACCGCAGCAGGTACACTCGTGCAGGTGTTCGACGTGGAGAGCGAGCGGCTGGTGAGCCAGTGCCGCGTGATGCAGGGCGTGGAGTTCTGGGTCTGGCTGGACCGCGACACGCTCTGCCTGGTCACCGACGCCGCCGTGCTGCACTGGGCTGTGCAGCGTGAGTACCGCCACAGGCCACCGGCCACGCTGGCACAGAGGACTAGCCAGCACACACGGGGTACTCCACGAGATATCAGGATCTCCGAGTTCGTGGGCATTTTTTTAATGCACCTTAAAACGTATTTATAAACTTTTAGTTCATTTCGTAAATGATTCTTAAAATATATTTATGATTTTTATGTTGGGTGTCTGCTGCTGCTGCTGTGTTCTGCACAGCGCTTTGAGATCCTTGATGAAGAGCGCTATATACATGTAATTATTACTACTCGTCCGTATAGCGTACTAGCCAACACTGATTAGCCAACACATCCATCGCAGCGTGCTCGCAATCCGGCACAGCGTGCTATCAGCCCGCGTAGCGTACTATCCGGCACAGCGTGTGCTGTCTTGTTGTACACTCGGTGAACCGTTCAGCACACGCACACACACAGAGCGGCGCGCCACCCGCGCCGTGCGTGCGCCTGTGCCGTGACCCGTCCCGTGTGCCGCCCGCTCCGCCAGGAGAGGTGGAGCCCGAGGAGGTGTTCTCGCGGCACGCCAAGCTGCGTGGCGCCGAGCTCGTGGGCTACCGGGGCGACCCGGCGGGACAGTGGCTGGCGCTCACCGGGCTCTACCTCGACCGGGTGAGCGGCCGCGGGGAGCGTGGGGAGGAGACGCGGCAGATGGATCTGCGTTCAACCCCCCCACCCCCACAGAGGATCGGAACGCCGACCGTCATTCTGAACCCCGGGGGCTGTCGGAGTGGAATCGTTTGGTTAGAACAGCGTAGAAACAAAGCACTCTGACCCCCCACCCCCCCCCGGGTGTTGGCGGGGTCATTTTTCAACAGGGGGAGGAGTCGTATTGCTCCGACAGCAGTTTTACCCCTGGGTCCAAAGTGTTGTGATGAGGACGCTCGTTTACCCAGGAAAGCATCACTGAGCCTCATGACTGCCTTTCGGGAGAGTCCTGCCAAACGATGTCGAGTTACACCTCCGATTAGCACGGCTGCCTACGCACGGTGCGGAAGCGGTTCGACGTACACTCACGTCTTCTTAGGTTGTTTTTTCCGGTAAAGTCACGTAGGTAAATGAAAAAAAAATAGAAATAAAATAATAAATTACGACTTTTCGGAGGCAACACAAGTCTCCGTCATCAGGTGGGACCGTCACAGCTAAATTTACTGTATCACTTGATACGGAGACTTGTGTTGCCTCCGAAACGTCGTGATTTATTATTTTAATTCTATTATTATTATTATTTTTACCTACGTAACTTTACCGAAAAAAAAAACCTAAGAGTATGAATCCTTGCAGTCATGTTACGCTGACCCACGGGCCACGAACTCCGCGGGCTGAGAGCAACTCTGCGACTCTGTGCCGCAGACGGGCTGCGTCCAGGGCCTCACGCAGCTCTACTCGCGCCACACGCGCCTCGACCAGGTGATCGAGGCGCAGGCCGTGGCGCTCGCCGAGCTGGCGCTCTCCGCCAACCCCGGGCCCTCCGTGCTGCTCGTCGCCGCCCAGCGCCGCGGCGCCGGTCACAAGGGCAAGGTGGCCGCTCCCTTCTCTCGGCATCCGCCATCTCACCCGACGCTCGCGGTGCCAACCTGGGCCGCCCCCCCCGCCCGCCCGCGCCTGTCACCGGTCGCCCTCGCGCGCTCGTAAAAGCAATGCCATTGGCGAATATCGCTCGCGATGTCGCCCGCGGTTCAAATCACCGGGCATTAGCCCGGTCTCGGCAGAGTGGGTTGTAGCCCGGATAGCCGAGCACCACCGTCATCATCTTTATGATAATCAGCCACGGTCAATCTGCTGCTGGATGACGCAGCAAAGTCCATTGTTGTGCTGTACTATGCTCCGGCGTCTATGCTGCCGGCCTCCACCAATCCTCACCGACCAGCGTGCGATCAAATCACCTCGGGTGGGGGGGGGGGAGTGAGGGCCTCATCCAGCAGTGGATTCACACGAAGACCTGTGCATGCGCGTCGTGCGCGACAGTCACGAGTGTGCGCGACAGTCACGAGCGTGCGCGACAGTCACGAGCGTGCGCGACAGTCACGAGCGTGTGCGTGACTGCGTTTGCGTGAACAGGTGCACGTGGTGGAGCTGGGACCGCACCGCCAGGGGAACTCGGCGCTCACGAGCCACTCGGACAGCCTGCTCTTCCCGCTCACCGAGGCGCGCGACTTCCCCGTCAGCGTGCAGGTGCCCGGCGCCACGCGCCTCCGCCACGCGCTCGCCTGCGCTTCCACATTGAACGGGAGAGCTCGTGCGCTCACTCACGCGCGCGACGATCGCGTGGCGCTTTCCAACACGCGTTGGAAGTCTTCGGGAGGATTTTATCGGCGCGCGATTGTCGCGGGGTGACGTCGCTCGTGCAGGCGTGCGGAGGCGAGCACGGTCATGGCGAGTGACGTCGTCGCTTCGACCGAAAAGGATGATCCATTTTAGCGTCGGTTTCTGCCTGGGCCAAAAAAACCACACGCACACCATCATCGGTGATTTTGGAACGTAGTCCATCTGCATAAAGCCCTGCACGATCGCTCAGCCGAGACCAACTCCCCCCCCCACCCCCAGGTGCTGTGCCGGCAGGGTCTGGTGCTGGTGCTCAGCAAATACGGGCTGCTGTTCGTGGCGGACGCGGACACGGCGGCCGTGCTCTGCTGCCAGCGCATCGGCACGCACACCGTGTTCGCCTCCGTGCCGGACCCCCACACCCACGGCATCCTCGGCGTCAGCCGCAGCGGCCAGGTGAGGCCCCCCATCGACGTCGTCGCCGCCGCCGCGTCCCACGGGGGTTGGCGCGCGCGACGAGGGGGACAACGATCGTGGGAACAGGGGGCGAGGGGGGGGGGGCGGTGAGCGTGGCTGACCGGCGCGGTGTGCCCGCCGCAGGTGCTGTCCATCTGCGTGAGGGAGGCGGCGCTCCTTCGCTGCGTGCCGCCCCACGCCCCGCGGTCCACCATCCTGCGCCGCCTGCTCGACTCCCGCAGGGACTCGGCTCGGAAGATCACGGCCGTGTGACGCTCGCCGCGCCAGTCCGGCCGGGCCACCCGCCAGCCGTGCCGTCTTGCGACCCACGTGGGGTCGTCGCTATTCGCGGGGCTCTGCTGCATGAAGGCGCCCTCCGAGACACAGATGCGCGTAGCTGCCGAACACCTGCGCCCTGAGCGAGGAACTGGGACACGGATGTGGGCGACTGCAGTGCCAAGCTAAACTCGCCAGGATACAAAAAACCCTTCCAAGTGTAGAAAATATCGAGGGGCTCTTTGTGGGATGTTCAAGCCTTTTAACCACACGCATTCATCTCTGAAGACGTAGGCAGGGGCCGGATGTGTAACGCAGACGCACATTTGGACGACGCCATGCCAACCACACGGACGCGCCAAAACACGGACTGTTTTCAAATCCACCTCGTTTGCCGAGAGGCGTCGTTATTCCCCCACGGAAGCGTCGAGTTCGGATTCGCCGAGCAACACGGGCACGGTGCCAGAGTGCCCCGTCTGGGCCCTGCCCTCCTCCGGTGGGCGTGGACCACCTTGCCGTGCCAACCCCACGGTGGCAGCCGTCTCCCTCCCAAGCCACGCCAAAGGGCACGGAGCCGAATGCTGCCGACGCGGGAACTCGGAGCGGGTGAGACGTGGGTACTCCCCCTGTCAGCCACCCTGCGGGCATTGCGTAGCCCTCTGCCGGACGCTGAAAGCAACATTGCAACATGTTTACAGTATCCCCTTATTAACTATGCATGATTGCATTTTTTTTTACGTGTATACGCGTTATAAATATTTGAAGAGCTTTGGCTGTTCACATTGCTGTGATGCGTTATCAAAAAGCAGCAGGGTTGCGGAGCACGCAGAGCATTGTAAATATCGACTGCATATTTATCGGGGGTGGAAATGACGCATCGATTCGTGCATCGAATCTCGGGTATCGCAGTTCCTTTCGATCGCCGTTCTGTACGTCGAGTCTCCTCTGCCGCCACTAGCGGCACGTAATGTTGGGGGCTCTTGGACTGAATCGTGACTCCGAATCATCGCAATTCGCTGAATGGCTGCGGAGTCAATCAATCATATTCTTGGATCTTTCCGTAAAGACACGTAGAAGGGAAATAATAAGATAATGAAAATAAAACATAATACAATTCTCACGACGTTTCGGCCACAACACAGCGTCCTAACATTAGGACGGTGTCTTTCCGACAGCTCTGTTCTTCACCTGAGGACGGCTGCTTGCGTTGTGGCCGAAACGTCGTGAGAATTTTATTATGTTTTATTTTCATTATTTGATTATTTCCCTTCTACGTGACTTTACCGAAAGATCCAAGAATATGAATCCCTGCAGTCATGAAAGCTTTAAATCAATCAATCGTTCCACCCCCAACGAACGTGCTATTCAACGCAACTGCGAGAGATAGAGCCTACGGCTAAACCACCAGCAGGCCGCCCACCTGCGCTGACCCCAGTCGACCTGGGAAGCTAAGCAATGTTGCGCCCGGATAGTGTTCAGCTGGGCGACCACCATGCATTCAGCTGGTGTCTGTTGCACTGTACTTCTAAACCTGCCAATGTGGTGAAGTATGGTGAAATAACCCCCAAGGACCCGCAGCATCGCGTGAGGAGGCCATCATCCAGCAGTGGATTGCCAAAAATTCCTGTGCTGTACACGTACAGTAAGGGTGGGGGTTGAGTGAAGGAGATGAACGCAACGTTGTTTTGCCGAAGTCAAACAACAACTTCTTTATTTCATACTCGTGAAGCATACAAACGTAAACACAACATTGCCACACGAGGCGACGGCGGTTTCGGAGAGAACAGTCGTGGGATGGATTCTCTCGGACGGGCACAGAGGGCACGGCTGACAGAGGGCACTAAAGCCCCCCTGTGTCCTCCCGCACCGCCTGGCCTAACCCCCCCAGCTGCTGCTACTGCCCCTACGATATTCATGGAACGTTTGGCTCCGCCGCCATAATTTTTACGCCGGCGAAATACACATTTTATCTGCATCATAATAACCTCGGCCAGGGTCACCATTCCAATATTTTGTAACTCAAGACTACGGTTCTGCAACTCAACCGCATGCGAACGTTTTATTTCGCTGTTTGTAACGTTATAATATTCAACGTTGCTTTTCAGCGCCGAGGTGCCATTGCTACGAGGGTTGCCACCCTGTCTTGGTTTTCCCCAGGACACTGTCCTGGGAAGTCTGCGATTCTTCCCGGGATGTTACGAGTCTCGCGGGGTCTTAGTCGTGAGTTGAGTAGCAATAAACCAACTCCAGTCGATTCATGTCCCCTGCGTGCGCCCCTCGCCGACTGCGAGATTCTTCCTCACCACCTCATCTATTTACAGCTCCTGGGCCAGTCGTGTAAACTCTACATTCCTTTGGAAGGGGCGAGCGAGCGTGTCCAAGAGACGAGCACTGATGACTTTCCCCACAAAGCGTTACAGGACCGATATGTTTGGGACGCGTCAAAAATTGGAACACATATTCGGACGATGTGTCCCAATTTTATAGTTCCTCAGAGGTGGCAACCCTTGTCGCTTGGCGATTTGTGGACGGGAGGTGGGGTGAGTGGGTGAGTGGGTGAGGGGGTGGTGGTGGGGGGGGGAGGTCAGGGCCCTGGCGCGGTCATATCACAGTCGGTGCGGGCAGCCTGGTCCGGACCCCTCGTTCTGGGGACGACAGGGCACGGTGCACGAGATTTGTTACCGCACGCAAACACTATCAGCTGATGTTTTGACGAATATAAAAGTCTCGAAATGCCAAACTTTATTTCTGAAAAAATAATTTTTAAACGTCAGCTCTAAATATAGTGCCGATTTGCAAAAGTTGCGTCTATTTTTGGAATAAAAGATGTTCATGAAACATTCATGGGAGCTTTTTTCACGTTTAATGTTCGTCGGGCACTGCGCTTTTAAACGTTCAGTTTTACAACTGCCTTCAGTTCACTAAAATCGTTGTCAGTTCCTGTAGAATTTCTGCATGTCTCCCAGTCTCCCCGTCTCCAGGTCCACCCATCCTCCAGGTCTACCTGGCCCGTCTCCACGTTTCTCGATCTCCCCAGGATGGGCTGCGGGTAAGGAGCCTGCGTGAGGATGTGCGGAGCAGTGCCACTACCTTTAAGTCTGGCGTGGAGTCTGGGCCCCCTGGATGGGAGTCTCCACCCGTGCCGGCTCCGAGCTGATGCTACCTGCTCAGGGGGAGCGTGAGAAGGCAGAGCGCGCGGTGTGCACCGTGCGCTGAGTAATGGGGAAGGGGCAATGTGTGCAATTGGGCTGTTCATAATTTTAATAGATTTAAACAAATAATATCTCCCTGCGTTACACCATCGTGCGGGTGTTTCGATCACTGTGTATTAATAGGGTCCTCAATTGAGCCACACAACCAGGTACTGCTATGATTTTCAGTGAAGTCTGTACTGTCCTTCATTCAAAAAGTGTGTGCAGTGGGTGTGTGGTGGGTGGGTGGGTGTGTGGTGCGTGGGTGGGTGGGTGTGTGGTGGGTGCACGTGGGTGGTGGGTGGGTGTGTGTGCGGTGGGGGAGGCTATAGTGTAGCAGTTTACGTGCTGCGCTACGAAGCCAGCAACCTGAGTTAGATTCCTGCTCATGGCCACCAACACCAGTGACGATTATATGAACCAGCCCTGGGCCTCCCCTAGGTCGACTTGGCCGCAAATGACGTGTAAACATTGCCACTAAAGGCGGCCGGGCGTGGTGCTTGCCACCCACCCCCCTCGTGTGCCATAGGTGCTCGCTAACAGCACTTGCCAACAGTCTGTTTCGGCTATTTGGGGGATCTTAGTCTGTGTGCGGGGTGTGTGTGCAGTGGTGGGTGGGAATGTGGATTGCGTGGACGGTTCCCACACACGGGAATGGACACAGCTGGTACCGGCAGTCGTGAAGTGCGGCAATAGCGACGCGTCCGCTGCCTTCGAGGCGGGCGGATCGCCACTGGAAGGTAGCGCCTCTTTCTCGCCCCTCTCCTCCTCCTCCTCCTCGCCGCTAAACACGACGACCGCAGGAGCAAACCGCGTCCTCGCCAGTCACGCGCAGGTGATAGGAGCGCCGCCGAGACAAATGGAGGCGTCGCACAAGAACTGCCCGCTGCACATCCCACCATTTGGCACCCTCAATGTGGAGGGCGCGTAGCAAAGCCGGCAAGAGGCTGTGAGGCTGGTACTGGCAAGAAAGGTCCCATATTGTAGCTGCTCACCCCGAGCTCTCAATGCCCTGATGGTGCATTGTGTTTGCCTCTTGGCGTTCTCTGGTCTAGCACTTTGAGACTCGGCTCTAAAGAAAGCTGCCTCTGGTGTGGACCAATCAGTTTCAAAGGTAATGCATATATTATTATCAGAGAATGTTTTCTGTTTGCATGTTCACCATAAGTACGTGTGGTTGATGCAGACAGGATTCCTTAAAAAAGGATTCTGTTTGGTGATTTAACATCTTAACACAGCTGTTTTATTTCCAGAAATGGTAAAACATATTGTTATGGGCTGTGAGTCTGTCTGCTCGCAAGCTCACTACGCCACAAATCTCGCAGACGCTCACCCCGAGCCGCTGTCCTCCTCGAGGCTGTCCCTGTCCTGCTGTGCCTCTTGTGGGGCCCTGGTCACAGCCGTGCTGGGGGTCGCGCCGCCAGCCCTGGTCCGTTCAACAAGACGGAGCGTGCCGATCAACCAACGCGCGCGGACACGGCGATCGCACGACACCAACACAGAACAACCACGCGCGTCGAACTGAAACTACGCACGTTCGTCAACAACAGGGCCCTGAAGTGGAGAGAATAGACGACAGGCGACGTTCTGGACAAATATTCAGGATCAAATGTTTCCGCCACGAAGACGGGCCATTGCGACATACGTCACCTCCTCTCCGTGTTTCCTCTTCAGTGCAGTGTTATTGACGAACGTGCCGAGTCTGAGTTACTTGTGCTTGTGCACCACAGCCAGCGCAGTATCAGAATGGAAGGCGGCCTGCTGACTGCGTAAAAGTCATTGGTGGCGTGTGCCGGTACCTGATGCCCTCCTCGGTGACCACCACAGGCCACGCCCGCTCAGGCCTATGGTCGTCGCCATCATGGCCTCCTCCTCCAGCAGCAGCAGCAGCAGCAGCAGCCGTGTGGCTCGGGGAGACCGTGTGCGGCTGCTTGGCGCGCGAGGAAGCCTCCGCTGCATCTCCTGCCGGCCAGTGGGAGGGGACCTCCTCCGCCCCTTGGCCAACCGGCTCTTCCTCCGACTCCACCTCCTCTTTCCAGGTGCTCTCCCTCGCCATCGCCGCCGTCGTGTCCAGGCTCAGGAAGGCCGAGTTCATCTCGTCCGCCGAGCTGCGGCTGTCGCTGGGCTGGGAGCCGGACGTGCCGCCCTCGACTTCGCGCTCGTCCGGCGCGTTGGCCGTCACCATCTCGCCCGCGGTCTCGTCGACACCGTCTCCGTCTTCTCCGTCTTCTCCGTCTTCTCCGCCTTCTCCACCGCCTCCGCCAGCGGCACCGTCGGTATCAGATGCCGGGACCCTGGTCGTCCCATCTGCTCGTTCGCCTGGAGCCGACGCCGTCTTCATCTCGCTTCCATTGTCATCGTCGTCGGTCGATCCCCACTGGCACGTCCTGGCGAACGACCCTGCATCGCACAGACTCCCACGAGTCAAGCACGGGGACGGTGCGGGAGTGAGCTTGTCGCGAATGCAAAACGTTTCATTTCGAAAACGTGCAAAACACAGACTCAAGCGGTACGCGATGTCCCGTTTTGTGCGGGTGGGGCAGGCGCGGGGGTGAGTGGGCGCGGGGGTGAGTGGGCGTGGGGGTCGAGCGGGTGACGAGCGGGGGACGAGTAGAACTCGCCTGGGGTCTCCTTGCACGTGTCGTACATGAAGGACGGCGCCGGTGCGCGGCCGGAGAAACCCTCGGCCCAGTGCGCCGTCTCGTACCCCTCCTCGGCCTGCTGCTCCACCTCGGCGTCTCCCTCGGCCTCACGCCCCCCACCGGGGGCCGCAGCCGGCCTCGCGCTGCCCGGCAACGCGCTCGGGCCCCCGCGGGGAAGCCCGTCCGCAGCGGGGGCAGCGGGGTAGGGGCTACCCCCCGGACGGTCCCGGTGCAGACGCCCGGCAGCGCCATGGGCTGCGGAGGGAGGACATGATGTTAATGTTACAGCGCGGGATGCACGGCCTACATACAAATCTACTGGAGCCGCTCGGTGTTCAGGTCGTGTATTTTAGGGCACACCACGTGCCGCCGACGAGACGGTACGGGCAACGCGAGGGGGCCGTGCGAGCGGGCGATGTCACTGGGCGCAAGTTGTTGGCCAAAGGCGGCGAGGGACAGGCTTGTGCACGTCAGAACATAACAAACGATGGGGACGTTCTTTTGAACGCTACGTGCTAAACGTGTGACCATTCGGCCCCCCGGCGGCGACTCCATGAGTTGTCGCGTTTCATGGTCTCGGTTCGACTGGGGGGTGAGATTCGTCCAGAGCGGCACCGTGCGCCAACACGGCCCGTGGCGGTGAAAGCCTCGCACCTGCACGAGGCTCCGAGGGAGGAAGCAGCGTGGCCCCCGCGTCCATCTTGTCCGATTCTGCAGGCGTCATCCGGCTCCTCCCCGACCGGGCAGTCTGCGCGGAGAATTAACTTCACACAAAAAAAATCGCCCAACAATATTTTTCACAAAATGCAGAAACGTTAAGATGACTTCTGCTGCCAAGTGCTGGCACCTGACTCCGACAGCGATCGCTTGCCACAGCCGCACCGATCCCAGAACTGACCGATCGCGGTGTGTTCCAGTCCTTGCCACCGCCGCTGCTGTCGCTGCTGCACACGACTGGCATGGTTGGCGGAGCCTGGCGCGTGGAGGCAGTGGCAGGCGCGGTGAAACTGTCGGGCGGCTCATCACCGAAGCTCCTCCACACCGACGTGTCCTCCAGCGCTTCCCGGCCGCTCGCCGCTGCGTCGCTGCTGGCTGCAGACCAAAGGGGCGACCCTAACTCAACGCGATCTTCAACCGTCCTTATTTGCCTTAATGAAATCTTAAACAAACACGGCGATGTGTATTAATTACACCAAGTATGTCTTATTCACAGGAGGTGGTAAAACCTGAGAAATGGACCAACCAGACTAAGCGGCGATAACAGGTGACGATGCACTCGCAAAGGAACGCAGGATGAAAGCTACGATCGAGTGAAGGTGGGCAGCTGGCTCAGGTGGGGGGGGGGGGGGGGGGGTCACATACTGAGCTGGCATTACTGAGATTTGGAATTCAAATCCGAGTTTCACCTGTCCATGATCCACCAGCTTCTTAAGTGTAGGTGGTCTCAGCCTGGTCATTAATAACTTCACAAAAAAAATGTACTTTATAATAATAATAAAAAAATTCACTTAATTGTAAAATTTGATCCCTTGCAGCAAGTTTTTGCCGCCACGCGCCGGACATCTCGCTGTAGCGGGATGTGTGGGGCATTGCCTCCTTTAGTGCGCATACGAGGTCACAGAGCTACTTCTGAGGGATCTCAGAAGTAGCTCTGTGATGCATCCTTCCACGGGCCACTCTCCAACACGCGGTCATTCGCAAAGCTGGGAAAGAGACAAACATGGACGGTTTGCTCCGCCGGGGCCTGCTGCTGTTGGAGGCGGCGGCGGCGGCGGGCGCCCCACTCACGCCGCGGCTCTCACCGGGCTGCTTGGGGGTGCTCTCGGCGGCTCGGCAAGACGGGCTCGGCACACCGGGCGACAAGCAGAGGCCGCGGGCCTGGCTCCGCGTGGCGTCACGCACGATGAGGGACAGCTCGCACGTGTCGGACAGCGACCTGGGGGCGGCAAGACGCGCAGTCCATGACAGGCACAAAGCCTCGTCTAAATCTGTGTTCAACTCAATACTTGGACATCGACCTCACAGTCGCTTCCCTTGCTTTCCTTAATCCTTACTCGACGCGCGAGGTTCTCGTGTTATGCCCAATTATTCCCCACGGTTTTGCACCTCCGATTAGCACGGCTGGCTAGGTACGGTACGAAAGACGTTCAACATACATGCACAGATATGGTGCTCGAAATAAGTGTAGTGATAATACAGCTGCTTGCGAATGCTCACGATGCCGCCACAGTCGTTTTTGATGCTACAGTCGTTCTCCACATGCTAACTACTACTACGCCTGTAAGCATTCACTTCCCAACACGGTTCGATGAATTGCCAAGATTCGGGTCACAAATTAATTAAAGAATTAATAATTTACTTTAAAAACCGATTCATCGCTACACCCCAAATGACGACCTTGAGCTGGGCGAGAGAGAAGGTCGTGGTGTCCCGGCCTCATCCGACGATGACCCCTCGCTCTCCTCATCCTCCTCTTCTGAACATTCGGTCAGAAAACAAGATTCAGGCATCATCTCTGCTCTTGCTGCCGGTTCAAATTAATGTTCCAATCAATTAATGTTCCAAAGAAAATCGCAGGTGAAGAAGTCAAAGTGCACGAAGAAGCGAAATCCACCTGCGCGGTGCAGAGCAGCAGCGCCGTCGGCATGCTCCTGTTGAAGTTCCCGGCGCTGCGCGCCCTTCGCCATGGGGGGGACCAGGCCCTGGCGCCGCAGCTGGGGGCTGGTCAAATCCTGCGGATGTGTTCGCGCGATCACCGGTGAAATTCCCAACACAGGCGCGCAACGACCCGCAGAGCGAACGCCTCGGCTGTGTCACACCGAATCAACTGTCTCGAGGAATCGTGCAGTCGGCTCTCGGAGGTCTCTCGGTTAACAAGGCGGAGGGGTGGCCCAGATAAAACAAGCGCAGGGATAATGCAAAATGTGTGGGCCCTCTCACCTCCACGCTGGCGACGGGGCTCTGCAGGCGGTGGAGAAACTGGGCGCGACGTAACCTCGCATTGAGTTCAGGGGTGAAATACTCGGACTCATCGATCATCGTCCCCTCCCTCTCGTGCACAGCAACTCTCTGGAATCAAAATGAATGACTCGCCCCGTGTCCTTGCCAGCTGAGTGAATGTGCACACTGCGCAGCGACGAGTGCAACCGTGATGCCTGTTTTCGAAGCCTGTAACGATGCATTGTTTACAATCGATTCATACGCTCTTAATGCACGCATCAATTCACGTGTGCGGAGAAAATCTATTATTTTACCAATGCATGCAATTGGATACACAAGTAATACATTTTGGCTGATGGAGTGAAGAAAACTGTTCAAATGAAACAGAGTAAACAAGAAACAATACAAACGAGATGGAAGAACATTCGTCGAACAAATTCTAACGCGAATTGAATCGCGACCTTCAATCGTAACGATTCATCGACCCGTCAAGAGGGGGCTACTGCACGCCACGCGGCTGCCATGCGGGGCCCCTGCCCGGCTCCAAGCACCCTGGGCCCGTAGCTACTCACGGAGACGCCGGCCTGCGCCACGACGCCGGGCGTGTTCCGCCCGCGCCTCTTGGTCACGAAGCTGTCGTCCAGCTCCGGGCTCGCCTCCTGACGCACCTCCGGCTCCTCCTCATCCTCCCACACCTCAAACCGCCGCGCGCTGCTCTCCCCCACGCTGCCGGCGGGCGGCCCGGATCCCTTCTCGCCCGTCCCGGAGGCCCATGGGGCCGAGTTTGCGTGGCCCTGCTCGGACGCCGCCTTCCCCCCCCCGCCTCCTCTGGTGTTTACCGACGCGGTTGCGGAGCCCCCTGGCTTCTCCTCCTCGCCCGATTTCGGCGCCCGTGGGAAGACGGTCCCCGCCTCCCCGCCTGCGTCCGTCTCCGCTCTGCCTGCTGGGCGTCAGAATGGCCGTAGGTTTTCGCGGTCCCGCTTCACGGCAGCACGCGGTACAAAACGAAAACCCGTCGGAGATTTTGACTCCTCGTAATCACGCAACGGGGCTCTCAGCGCGAGCTTCACAGTAACACTCGCGGTAACGTCCACCTGCCGAGTCGGGGTCCTCAATACGTTGAGGTTATCAGCATCTGCAGTGGTTTTGAACACTTCCAAAGCTGCAGTTGCTGTTAACAAACAAGCTGCAAGATGTGGAGCAGAGCTGCCCAAACGTTTTATTCAAACCGCTGCCCTTGTTGAGGCCTCCCTCCGTAAACAGACGGAGGCCATGTGCACGGCAGGGTCGCTTTCAGAACCGTAACCGGCCGGGTGGCTCAGCGGTAGAGCGAGCGGCTGACAATCCAAAGCTTGTAAGTTCGTTGGTGGTTGTCTCGGCTCATCATTCCTCCGGGGTCGATAAAATAGCTACCACTTTCTGGGGAAGTCAACAGTGCTTGTCCTAGAAATGTGGAATTTCCACCACTGGTTCTGCAGGGCTGTAAGCAGGAGATGAGCACCGCCTTGATGCTCATTTGAGCCGGAATTCACTCGTACTTGGGGATGCAAGAGAACGCAGAAGGCATTGATTGCGTGACCCCGAATCTTCCAGGATCACAGGCGGGTAAACACCAGCTGTGTGTGGCGCACGCACCAGACACGGACCACCGCACGCAACCCACCTGTGCACCGAGCCCCCTGCTCGCGCGGTGGTTTACGAGGGGCCCCAGACGCGTGGCGTGCAGAGGGGCCCTGGGTGTCCCTCTCAGGCTGCTCCACGGCATCACACGGCAAGATGAACCTGCACCCGGGGGGCGCGGACGGACCGACACACGGCCAGAGCTCAAGGGCGAGAGACATCTCCTCCGATACCAGGGGGTGGGGTGGGGCAGTGGGGGGGGCAGGCAGGGAAATATTTTCCATAGTTCAGCCCCGGGAAGCTCCGGCTGATATCAGACAGTAAGTACAGTGTGGGCTTTACCTGCAAGACCTGGCTGGCGCGGCGTGGTGGTGCCCGTCGCGCAAGTTGCGGAAGAGCTGCTTCACGGGCGAGTCGTCTCGCGGCTCCTCCTCCGTCAGCGCCAACTCATCGTTGTCCTCGTCGCTCCCTTCATCGCCGCGGGGCCAGGCCATCCCCTCCTCGCTCTCTGTGTCGCTCTCCACGCTCTCTCCCCGCTGCGTCGTCACGTACACCTCGTCCACGAGGGAGCTGGGCTCGCACTCCGAGACGTGCGTGGTCCCTCGCGCCTGCAACGACGATGACGTGGGCCACGGCGCCACCACAAGTCTCCACGCTCGCCCGTCCACGCGAGACCCTCGTCCCAAGCTTCGCATGCCTCCTCCAATCAGATGCCGCGTTGACTTCCAAGTCAACCGCAACGTCTTCAACCGTGGACTCGCTACCGCCTACCTCTTGCCTCTCACCTCACTCTACTCCCCTCCACGCACTCTCCTGCCTCTCCCCTCTCACCTCACTCTACTCACCTCCACGTACTCTCCTGCCTCTCCCCTCTCACCTCACTCTACTCCCCTCCACTCAAGTCTCCTACCTCTCCCCTCTCATCTCACTGTACTCCCCTCCACGCACTCTCCTGCCTCTCCCCTCTCATCTCACTCTACTCCCCTCCACACACTCTCCTGCCTCTCCCCTCTCATCTCACTCTACTCCCCTCCACACACTCTCCTGCCTCTCCCCTCTCATCTCACTCTACTCCCCTCCACGCACTCTCCTGCCTCTCCCCTCTCATCTCATTTGTCTAATCTACAAATCGAAATTCTTTCCGAAATCAGGCTAAACATTTAAAATGACGTCACGGAAACTCTACGTTCGAGCAACATTTGCAGTGTACAGACAATGCAACTAATGAAACTCTGTAAGCCTCTGCACACATCGCTTACCTCCCCGTGAGCCCCTGGCTCTGCTGCAGGGCAGTCAAGGGGCTTCGTGGCGGTGACGGCACGAGCGCACTGGTTGAGCCGTGGTTGCTTGACGAGCACCGCTGCACCAGTGAACATACAAGCACCAAGTAAAACCACCGACACCAGGCGCTTACTCTGATCCACATCACGATCCGACTACACAAACGACCGTGCGCGCGATCAAGACGGACACACCTTGCGGAGGAGGCCTGTAGTGCCGCGGAGGAGCCACGGCCATCAGCGAAGCGACGTCAACTGTGACCGCCATCTTCCCACGGTCGCCCTTCCTCTCCAGCTTCCCTGCGACCTGCGTTCCCGCTCTCCGTGACGTCTCGTAGCGCGCGGTCACGGCACGGTCGACCTCGTCGATACAAGCCGGAGCGTTGCCGGTGGCCTGATGGCGATCGGCTGCACTGCCGAGCGGTGGCCCGAAGCTGGGCTCCGCCGAACTTCTCGGTTCGCTTGCGTGAATTTCTGCAGCCGGAAATGATTTCCATCCGCTCGTGTCTCCAAATTGCTGTTGCCTCGGTTTCATTCCGGCAGCCCTCTGGTGAATCCCTTGATCCGCCTTACCCTCGCACTCCGACTCTGTGTCGTGGTGTTGCTCGGACGCATGGGTGTCGTGACGGCCGTCGTGGGTCACCAAATCCCCCAGCGTACCGATGCTGGCTTCGTAGCGGCGCTCCAACATCGCGGTGGTGGTGCCGAGCGCGTGCGGCACAAGTCTCGTGGTATCGCGTACATCGCTCCTGCACCCTCCGAATGGACGCTCCCCGATCTTTCCAGCATCATCGTCCTCCTCCTCGTCGTCGTAGGGGCAGCTCCGCTGGGCCGCTGTCCACTGAAACCCGCCTTCTGCTTCCGAGCTCACCTCAGGGCGGCTCACCGTGTCTCTGCGCATGGAACGGATTTCCGTGCGGCCGTCTCTTGCGTCGGCGTGCGACCACGTCTGCCGAGGACTTGCCTCCTCTTTCGCTGAATCTTCCACCTGCGAAGAGCTGGACTCTAAACTCACGTCAAACTCCACGCCACGCGGCACGTTGTACGCGCGGAACTTTCGGCGACCCCCGCTTGCCTCGCGTCCAACGCGCGCTCCCTCCAGATCTCCTTCTGGCTTCTCCCCGGTTCTGCCGGACCGCTTGGGCGCCGGTCGTCCCTTCTGGCTGCCCGGCTCCACACGCGCATCCCTCGCTCCGCGTCGGCCAGGCTCGGACGCTGACCCCAGCTCGGCCGCTCGCCCGGCCGAAGCAGACCGAAGAGCGGCACGACGGGCTTGCTTCGTTGGGCCCGGGGCGTCCGTGACGTCGCGGGCTGAAATCCCCACATCCCCGTCGCTCCGATAAGCGGTGGCGAGAGGCCGGGTGAGAGTTGGCGAGCCGCCCTCAGACGGAGAGACGGCGGCTGGTGGGGTATCGACGGGCGGACGCGAGCTCAGCGGAGAGCGGCGGGACGCGGGCGGTGGCCGCGCGCGGTGCCACTCCTGGTGACGCAAGATAAACACACAATTGGTAACTCTTGGTGCAAATCAAAACTATCACCAAACCAAGCAATGAGGCTTATGGAACGTGTGTTTTTATAGCTCTACACAGTGCGCGTGCCCGTATACACGTGCAGAAGGCAAACGATCTCGCAAAGTGACGGCGAGTTCTAAGAGACGCGTATCGCTGTGGGCGCGCCGTGCCCGGTGCCGCCGGACCGCACCGCCAAGTCCTGGCGCAGGGTGAAGTGGACCTCGCTCAGGGCGAGAGAGCGCTCCCGGACGGCCACGATCGTCCCCGCGCGCACCACGTCCAGCCACGGTTCCGGCAAGGACCGCTCCACAGGCATCTGCTGCCCCGACATCAGGAGCTTCTTCACAAATGGATCGTCGATCTCGGCCCAGGGCAGGCTGTCTGCGGACGACGACACGGGGAGCTTAGCCTGCCCGTCGCCACGCACCGGCTCGCGCTGTCTCGCGCCGTCGCCGAGAGGAGCAACAAGGATTCGTTCATCTTGCGCGATCGCTACGGGAGCTACAGGACCCCCTCCCCGTCACGGACGGCCAGACGGACGGAGCTGATGCATAAACACTGACGGCATCAGGTGGAAGGCATTTCAAAACATGACACTGGGTGCTCATCGAACACCCTGTGAACACCTTGCTGTGACAGAGCCTGATGAAGTGTAAACGCCGCAGGCAATGGATGCCCAGTGCACACAATCCTTTTCCTGACACTCAACAAAACGCACAGCTCTAACACAAAAGTGAAAGGAAATATCCAAACAGGAGAGTGTGGCGAGGCCCATATGCCAGGTGTTCAACGGCTCGTTCCATCAGATAAAGCCTTGTATTGTTCGCCGTAATGGTTCCATAGCAGACGTCTGTCCCTGGCTGACAATGCTGCCCATTAAAATCGAGTCAATGTGAAACGTCTCAGCGTGAAAGATGAACGTGGCCGTGCACAACTCCAATATTTAGTCATTCCGCTCACCCAGGACAGCCTCCACGAGTCTCAAGACACTTATTCACTCAGTGAACAAGAGACACGAGATTCTGCACCACCCTCTGTTGTCCACCACGTATACCCCCGGCCTCTAACATCCTGGCATGCATGGTGATCGCTCAACCAAGCGCTATCCAGGCTCAACCCCGCTTAGCTTGTGAGATCGGACGTGATCGGGCGTGTGCCACGACCTCTATCGCTGCACTGTTCCACACCTCGAGCGTTGCACTCTTTCATGTATTTCTGTTAATTTATTTGCTTTCACTTTGCAAAAAACTGGGACCTTGATGCAAATAAATAAGAACGTTCGGACCTGAAAATATCTCGTAGACGATGGTGCAGTAGCTGTAGACGTCGGACTTGGCGCTGATGTTCTTGCCCTCGAGCACCTCCAGCGGCAGCCAGCGGTGCAGCGCGGAGGGCAGGAGCCGTCCGGGCCGCGCCCGGCCCCCGGGCTCGCTGCAACCGCACGGCAACGGCCTCAGCACTCGCCACCGCCTCCGCGCGGTCGCCCCATGTTTACCGCCCCACCCCCTCCGTCAAGCCACTGCTGGACAAAGGCCTCTCCACGCCGTTCCGGTCATGGGGGTTGTCTTTTTACGTGTGTGTGTAAGTTTAATTTATTTCGCACCGCACGTAGCCAACCGTGCTAATCGGAAGTGCGGGGAAGGACAACAAACTAAACACAAAAAGCAGTTGACCACACTGGCGAGGTGGGAGGGGGGGTCGGAGGCAGCCCGGACTGTTTAGAATATCGCACGCCATCGATGTTAGCCGTCGCAGGAGAACTCAGGTCACTGGTTTCGTACTGTAGCGTGGTAACCACTGCACCACCGTTCCTTCGCTGAGTATGAATTACGATTCGTCAGAGCAGTGCGGCTGAAATCACAAACGACTGCAGGGGTCACGAGAACCCTTTATGTACAACGCAGACAAACGTAACGCGACCGTTTCTCGCGTACGACGACCGGGCGCGTGCGTCGCCAGCCTAACGATTGGTCGCGATCGGCGCTCCGTCCCACTCCGAGCGTAGCAGGTCCGAAGAGAGAGATCGAGGAGTCCGCCGCGGGGGGAGGCCGCACCTGCGCATGGCGTACTCGAGGCCGGAGAGCTTCGCGGTGTCGGGCGAGACGAGATGCACGGCGTGCGAGGACAGCCCGGCATGCAGCACCCCACGATTGTGCAGGAACCGAAGCGCCGTGCACACCTGCAGCAGCAGCCGCAGGATCGTTTCGTAGCACAGCACGGGGAAGTCCAGCTTCTGTGCGGCCGGGAGGAGAGGACACGGAGAGAGAGAAAGCCACGCCGCTCAGGAAGATGCGCGGGTTACGTACGGCATGAACGATGCCTCAAAGCGGTGGTTCTCAACACGGCTGTGGCATGGAGGGTGCAGGTTGCGGCATGGATACCGTGCAGGAGAAATTTCCAATGTGCGTCGGGAAGGTCTGCGTTACGTTGCGGTAACACAACACGCGGATAGACCGACAAACCAACAACGTTGAGGACCACTGCCGAAGAGAAAGATGCAGCCGAAATATTGAACAGTTCTTATCTTGTGGATATGCGCCTTCATTCCACGTGTCCTGGGTTGTCCAACATGGGTCTTAAGCTTTGTCCATAAGAAAAACATTTACTTTAAATATCAAGGCCACCTTTTATCATAGCAGTCTTTTGACATCATTGCACTGATGTTGTATTCAAATTTAGAGGAGCCATATTACAATGCCATCACTCAAGTGCCATGATGAGGCACCAGACTGTAGCATTTTCTAAGTTAACCAAGCTTCCAATCTCGCGCTCCACAGCGTATGCTGGTATCTAAGTGAGCTCTTTGTTCCGCAGGTTTTACCGTCCTTTAAAGACGCTCGTGAGAGCAGTGTGCCCCGACATCAAGTGCAGTGCAATGATCCACTGGTGCAGCACCACGTGCTGCTGCTCTCTGTAACCCAGGCCGCACTTGTAAAACAGAGAGGTAATGCCTCAGTGGGTTATTTAATCTTCTGGTTAAGTAAATGATACGGACGGACTGAGGAGCACAAGCTATGGGCGAGAGGGGCGCGCACACACACACGCACGCCCACCCTCTCATGCAGCACGGAGTAGAGGGAACCCAGGCGGACTCGCTCGAACACGAGTCTCGGCGAACGAAGTTCATCCACGAGGCTGACTCCCATGAGCAGCAGCAGCTCAGGACAGCACAGGCCCCTGGAGACACGACACACGCGCACGGCATGCACACTCAGCAGAACTATTACGCGTGCGGTTGTGTCTGGCGGCGACCAGCCGGGACCACCCGGCTAAGGGAGTGGCTGAGCGCGACCGATTACCCTGGTTCGATCGCTCCACTGATTGGACAAAGCAAAAACAGCCGAGTGTAAAAAAACCGTCGCGACGGACGGCGGTTGGCGACGTAGTCGACGTCGTCAGGCGCGTCACTCCGGCCCAAAACGTCAACCGCAAAAAAGTAGTCGTATATTGGTCGATCAAACGTCTCCGTGGACTTCACCGCCCCGGCTGCGTCCCCACCTGTAGGCCTCCTGCTCAGCCACGAGCAGGTCCGCCACACGCCTCGCCCTGCCTTTCTCTCCCTCGGGCCGGACGTCCCGGACGGTCACCTTGGTCCCGCTCCACACCAAACTGCAACGATGAGCGGCCGTGTCAGGCGATCCCCTCTTCTGCGATTATTTGAGCCGCGCACGGCAAAGGCAACGCTGAGGCGACACCAGCGTGACTCACCCCGCCATGAGCGTGTGAGGCCCGTTGGCGTAGGAGACGTGCAGGTCGTTCTCGTCGTGGCACAGCTCGTTTTCGGGGATTATGGGAAGGAACGCCGCGTACCCCAGGCTTCCCTTGGGTCCCGTGCAAACCTAACAGTGAACGTCCAGTGGAAAACCCATGAATGGCAAAATGATCAGAGTTACCTTCACACACAGCCTCACCATCCCACATAGCCTCACCATCCCACACAACCTCACCATCCCACACAACCTCATCATCCCACACAACCTCATCGTCCCACACAACCTCATCATCCCACACAACCTCATCATCCCACACAACCTCATCGTCCCATACAGCCTCACCATCCCACACAGCCTCACCATCCCATAGCCGAGGTTTTCAAGACTGGAGGCACGAGCGGCTCCGTGCGTCCAAGGCTCCCAGCTGCTGCTCCTCCTGCTGCCCCCTGCGATAAATTGCCACTCGGTGACCACCGACCAGCTCCTGAATGTCCGCGCAGGATTCTACAAACGCCACCGTAACGGCTGAGATTAACGATCGGCTCTCGTGTTGTTGCTGTCGTCGTTTGGGAGTTACTTGAATCTGAAGAGGCGGCGTAGGGGGGAGTGGGGTATGGCGAGAGTGGCGTGCCGCGGCGAATGCGGCGCTCCGCTCTGGCGCGTCTGCCCAGTGGCGTGGCTCCCCAGCCGCAGCATCTCGCTCCTGCAGTGACCCAGCAGCTCCAGGACCTGCCAGACACACGCTCAGACGGTGACGCGGCCCAGCGATGGCACATTCACCGCTTGGTTTGCCAGAGGTCCGCGGTTCGAATCCGGGAGGCCACCCCGGTGTATTAACCGTGCGATCAGGCGCCGCCTGCTTCGCTATGGATGTTGACGATCCGAAATGAGTACGCCATTGTGTGCAGGCGTTGACGGTCCATATTTGCCAAATTTTTTATTGTGCCATGAAAAACTCAATTAGGGTTACAAAAAGTAACATCACACCAAAGCTACTGCAGACTGTGTTTCGGCAAATCTGGCTGTCAGCATGATGCTGGTTGTAATTACTGGCGAAACGTCGTACTCAGATTGTAAATGTTTCGGATTTGCTCTCCAACACATTGGTGTGCTGTACTAGTAACAAATTGGAATGTTCTGTTCACGTGACAAACCTTACTAATTGGCTGTGCCGGGTGGTGGCGGGTTTAACGAAACATTTATATTGACTGGATCTAACCCAAAGAACCTAAATCATGCATGATACTGGTCGCGAAAGCCTACGTGTTAAACTGTGAGTGAAACATTACACTTTCGTGGTAGCCTTCCGCTAAAAGAATGGCGGGAATACCGGGCGTGCTGATGAATGCTTTTACTGCTCCTATGCTCAGTGGCTGAATCCCAGCATGCACCGTGAGCCATGTTTGCAGACAAAACGGTTCCTCGCGGTTGCTGCCCATATCCATGTTTCCAGAAGTAAGCAAACATGCTTCCCGGAGGAGACCTGGGTTTTACTTTGCTGAATTTCTCAAAGAATCTTCTCCCAGTCACTCACAGACTGAAGTACATGGCACGTGACGAGCAGCAGCAACAGCCGTAGACAGAGCCGACTGAAATTCATCCTTGTGTGTGCCCACGAGGGCACGGGCATTCCGCTCCGCGCGCACGTGAAAGGCAGCCGCCGCTCCGCAACGCGAGTCGGAGGAGACGCCCCAGATTGCCGCGGTTCCTCGGGTGCACGCCACCGTCTCACTCACGCTCTGGTTGCGAGGCCCCGCCTCCGCGGCCCAGTCCGCCGGCGAGCGCCCGCCGCGGTCGTGCAGCCGCAGGTCCCCGCCGGCGCCCAGCATGGCCAGCAGCAGCGGCACGCAGCCCGAGAAGGCCGCCGCGTGCATCGGAGTCGCGCCGTCCTCGCTTCGGCTGCGGGTGAAGGGGACGGGCCGGCGGGTTTCATCGCACCGGCGGCATCGCGGCTTTGCCACCGGCGAGGAGATACGTCAATGGGGCTGATCTCATCAGCAGGGTTGAGCCTGCTTGGGCGATGACAGTAGTGAAATTGATCTTGAAACTATCTATGGAGAGCTCTGGGTATTGGTGGGTGGGTTTCCTCCGTGTATCTGATTTCCTCCCATTTGCCAAACTCGTTGTTCAATTAATTGGACAAATATCAAACAAACATCAAAATGGAGGACACTGAAACTAAATTCATGAGGATTTATGGGTAAAAGGCATTATTGCTGTTCAGTAGATCCAATCCACTTTTTGTACTTTATATTGACTCACATAAGCACCTATGATCGACGGCATCTCAACATGCGGTCACATCTAGATGCTACAAAAATCCACATTGTGTTGCATAGCATGCACACGTGTGCGGTGGAGCCGGAGCCATCACGCACCGGTTGGGGTCGGCCCCACAATGCAGCAGCTGCTCCACCGCTTGGCTCTGCCCCGTGATGGCTGCCATGAACAGGGGCGTTTGCCCGTCGTCGTTGGGGAGGTCGGGGTTTATACCTGCGCAAGACGCGGAGCAGGCAGATGGAGAGAGACATCGCTCACAGCACCAACATAGGGGCAGGGGTGGCAACCCCTGCCCCTATAGGGCTTGTCTGAGAGCGAAACACAATTCTGTTCTTATTTGGTGAAGAAAACCAACCCCTCAGCTTGCTGTGCCTCCCTCCCGCCACCCTTGCGAGCGGCAGGAACGGTCATCAATGGCGAGGAGCGGCTGCGTGAGCAGCACTCCAAGCCGGCTTCGCGCTCAGGAGGCACAGCTCCAACTCCTCATCGGGGCTGGTTGGTCCAGACACTTTAGAGCCCATTTCGTAAGTTGGAAACTATAGAAATGATCCCTGAAAGTATAGTCTTAGTGAGAACACGTCGACGCAGCTGTATATGTAGTGTGGAAACCTCGCTCTACGCTATGGGGCCTGTGTGGTTTCCCAGCTAGGTACGTTTGGTAACCTACAAATATTGAACTTGTTCAGTGTCAACATCCACATTAACTGTAATGTAACATGTTTATTTCACCTGCAAAGTCAACGCTGTAAAGAATAAAAGCAGTTTACGTACAACTGTGCTAACGGTGAACTGCATGGTGGGAGTCGCCTCTCGACCTGGACCACGAGGCGGCGCTAGTCGACGAGTTCAGAGCGTGGGTCAGGGGATGTCAGCAGTTACATTTTCTGACTTTAAAAAAAGTTACTGATAAAACACACACGCCTTTCTGCAAACACGTGGCTAAATTAACTAACCACTATGAACAAGGGCAATAAAACAACGCAGGCCGCTGCCGTGTCTTTGTCGCCACAATGCCGTGACTCGGATTCGAACCGAGGTTGCTGCGGCCACAACGCAGAGTACTAACCACTATACGATCACGGCGAGCTACGCGGCCCGCTGGCTCCACCTGCAGGCAAAGAGCTCTCTTGATCGCCTCCAGCACCACGCCAGACTCACTCATTGGGCTCGTCCGACGTTTTATTGGAATACTGCTGCTGATCTTAGTACGGCAGACTGTCGATTATCCGCGTGCGGTTTATCCGATTTGCGGGGTTAGTGGTGGGGGGGGGGAAGGGGTTAGTGGTGGGGGTTAGTGGTGGGGAGGGGGGGTTAGTGGTGGCGGGGGGGTTAGTAGTGGGGGGGAAGGGATGTGGTGGGGGGGGGGGGGGTTAGTGGTGAGGGGGTTAGTGGTGGGGGCGTTAGTGGGGGGGGGGGTTAGTGGTGGCGGGGGGGGGGGTTAGTGGTGGGGGGGGTTAGTGGTGGGGGGGGGGGTTAGTGGTGGGGGGGGTTAGTGGTGGGGGGGGGTTAGTGGTGGGGGGGTTAGTGGGGGGGGGTTAGTGGTGAGGTTAGTGGTGGGGGGGGGTTAGTGGTGGGGGAGTTAGTGGTGGGGGGGGGGTTAGTGGGGGGGGGGGCTAGTGGTGGGGGGGTTAGTGGTGGGGGTTAGTGGTGGGGAGGGGGGGTTAGTGGTGGCGGGGGGGTTAGTAGTGGGGGGGAAGGGATGTGGTGGGGGGGGGGGTTAGTGGGGGGGTTAGTGGTGAGGGGGTTAGTGGTGGGGGCGTTAGTGGGGGGGGGGGGTTAGTGGTGGCGGGGGGGGGTTAGTGGTGGGGGGGTTAGTGGTGGGGGGGTTAGTGGGGGGGGGTTAGTGGTGGGGGAGTTAGTGGTGGGGGGGGGGGTTAGTGGTGGGGGAGTTAGTGGTGGGGGGGGGTTAGTGGGGGGGGCTAGTGGTGGGGGGGTTAGTGGTGGCGGGGGGGGGTTAGTGGTGGGGGGGGTTAGTGGTGGCGGGGGGGGTTAGTGGTGGGGGGGTTAGTGGTGGGGGGGGGGGTTAGTGGTGGGGGGGTGTTTGTGGTGGGGGGGGGGGGTTAGTGGTGGGGGGGGGGCACCGCCGTGACTCGGGCCAATGAGGAGACGGGCGATGTTTCATTCACAAAATGGAACTGGGGGAGGGTGGCTCCATTCATAAAATGGAAGCCTTGAAAAGGAAAAAGCGGATCTTTTTGCCTCGTGTTTCTTTCGCCATTCCCAGCCTTAAGGTGAGGGGAGGGTGGGGAGGGACTGGGCTGGGTGGGGAGGGGCTGGGTGGGCAGATAGGAACAACAGCTTTCACACTGTCCACCAGGGATTATTTGTCTGTCGTGCACGAAATGCGCTGTCCAACCAAGTTCCTACCTGCCCGCTCCGAAGGAACGTGTTTGACCGGCCCATTACATTACTGTGAGCGCCTCTAAAGGGGAACAGCATTTGCAATATATTTAATAGTAATATCTAAAATTGTGCGCTACTAATACTGGCTGTGCCAAGAGTGCAAAGATCTGTTTTTATTTGGCAAAGAAACCAACCCCTCAGCTTGCTGTGCCTCCCTCCCGCCGCCCTTGCGAGCGGCAGGAACGGTCATCAATGGCGAGGAGCGGCTGCGCGAGCAGCACTCCAAGCCGGCTTCGCGCTCAGGAGGCACAGCTCCAACTCCTCATCGGGGCTGGTTGGTCCAGACACTTTAGAGCCCATTTCGTAAGTTGGAAACTATAGAAATGATCCCTGAAAGTATAGTCTTAGTGAGAACAGGTCGGCGCAGCGGTATATGTAGTCAAGTAAACTGGCTCTACGCTATGGGGCCTGTGTGATTTCCCAGCTAGGTAGGTTTACTACCTTCAAAAATTAAACTTGTTCAGTGTCAACATTAAATGTAATTTAATATGTTTATATCACCTGCAAAATCGACGATGTCAAGGATAAAAGCAATTTTCTACAACTGTGCTAACGGTGAAATGCATGGTGGGAGTCGCCTCTCGACCAGGGCCACGAGGCGTGGGTCAGGGGACGTCAGCAGTTACATTTTCTGCCTTAAAGAAAAGTAACAGATAAAACAAGCACGCCTTTCTGCAAACGCGTGGCTAAATAAACTAACCACTATGAACAAGGGCAATAAAACAACGCAGGCTGCTGCCGTGTCTTTGTCGCCACAATGCCGTGACTCGGATTCGAACCGAGGTTGCTGCGGCCACAACGCAGAGTACTAACCACTATACGATCACGGCGAGCTACGCGGCCCACTGACTCCACCTGCAGGCAAAGAACTCTCTTGATCGCCTCCAGCACCACGCCAGACTCACTCAATGGGCTCGTCCCACGTTTTATCGGAATACTGCTGCTCATCTTAGTAGGGCAGAC